TCTTGCAACCGATTGATCACCGAACTGCGCGCTTCCATCAGATCGGAATGAATTTGATTGGTCCCTTTCCACCGTTGACGAAGGGAAACCGCCGAATATTGGACACAACGAATTATGTCACACGGTACACCGAGACGAAACACCTGCCGTCGGAACTGCAGTACAGTGGAAAAGTTTTTTTGTTGAATCCATGGTCTTCCGGCAGGGTCCATGAAGTGCTGATCACAAATCGAAGGTCCTCGTTCTTTGCTCAACTGACGCAAGAAATTATCCAATTCACCCACAAGATCCATCGTCGCACAACTGCGTACCTCCCGGAGACCAATAGGCTCACGGAGCAGCTAAACAAGACCATCGCCAACGTGATCTCGATGTTTGTTGACGTAAAGCCAAAAACGTGGTATGAAATTTTACCGTACGTCACGTTCGCCTACAACACTGCGTTTTTCGAGAGACCACTGAAGTTACACCTTTCCAGCGGGTGCATTGCTGGAAGGGAACGACTGTGCTCGACGCGACGCTGCCCCCTTGTAAGTAATTCTTCGCCTTGTCCATTGTCCTTCGTGACAAAATTAGTCTTGGTGAAAAAGTATCCTATTAGTTACGTGATTATTTTAGATATAAAGTAAATGGGCGTTACTTGAAAGCGTAACCGTTATTTTCCGATTACTTCAAAAAATAAAAACAATAATTTTCCGGTTTGAAAACGGGATTTTTATTCTGTTTATTATCGGATTAGAATAACCGAACTGTAAGCTAATTATGTTCTTAAAATGCCAATTTTGGTAATCCATCCTCTTGTACAAGACTTCGTTCGAAGATTTCATGGTAGGACACTTTTAAAAACAAAGGGCGCCGTTAGGAAGGGGAGTTCAAAATGGTGTCATTTACAAGTAATTCTAATACTTTGAAAGGTGATCAGTTTACTTTTGGGATTAGTTCCTAAAAATAAATTGAAAGTATAACAAAATTACTAAAAAAATCGTTTACTAGTTATTACTCGTAATGATTACCCTGCACGTCCGGTGCCAAGGTACTTTATTTTATAATAATTTGTCCCTATCTGGCAAGAGAAATATAAATGTCTGATTGTTTTCTAGTTCATCATATACAAGGCAAAGTGCACAAAATTTCAAGTGAAAATCGAACGAACCATCACTGAAGTATTATTCTGTCATTTTCTTCTGCGCAGAGGCCCAATAAATCTAAGTGACAACCGGAGAACCCATGTAGTTAAATATGGTCGTTGGCAGGGGATTCTGACATACGCCGACACTTGTTTGGCAATTTAGGAGTAACTTACACGGACTCTGGTTTAATACAAATTGGGGCTATACCTTGACTTATTTCGGCTTTCTATGGCCCGAAATCGACAACCATAAACATAATTTGGCCAAGTGCAACTTTGGCTGGCGAAAATGTTAAATGAATGACTGAAAATCTGTAATATATTTCGCACTGATGCGCGCTGTAATGTGATATTCTGATAGGCTCAATTTCTGTCCTTCAACGATGTCGCTGGGGAACGAGAGTGCTTCGCTGTTGCTTCATTTCAACACCGCTCGAGGGAATGGGCCCATTTCCGTTCATACTGATATGGCAAATGCGCAGTGAACATTTCCGGGAGGCTTCATTTTTTGTGGACATTACTTTGACGGATAGGTGAAGAGCACTAAACATCAAGCTGACAATTTGGGGTTTCCTTTTTTTTTTCTTTTTTTTTACAATTTGTTATGATAAACATCTGCTCTGCTAAACCTATATATTTTATTTAGTCACATGTGGAATCTACTTTTTTCTGTTTTCCCTGCTTAATACTTGTACAATATATTGGTAAATGCGGCGTGTTTATAGTGCCGAATGATTTGTGGCTTTCGTTCTCTCTACTTATGATGCGCTCAGCCTTTATATATGCTTGCAGCAGCTTTATTTCATCATAAGTGTGCGTTAGGGTTGCTGAGTTTTTGAAAAGGAAGTGCACTTTTACATTGTGGAGGAATACTTAAAAACGCATGTTTTTCCCCTAGTACCATTTGCAACCTTCATACTATAGAAGGCGTGATATTATGGTCGTTTTGACGCAGCTTTACTGTAATGTAACTGTGAATATCACTTTTGTCTGATGGGAACCCAACGAAATAGTTCGGTGGCTCCATGTGTTTTGTGTACTAGGTGTAAATATTTGACCTAAAATGGTATTTTTTTGTAATACTGATTGCTTACTGTGAGTGTCTCAGTCAAGTGTACCACAATAAAACCAGCCAAATTTGCTTTTATGCCACAACAGATCTGTCCATTTCTTCAGATTCCTATGATTTGTTATGTGCTTATTCTCTGCACATATCAATCTGCGCAAAGTGTCGGGCAGCTTAAGTAAGAAGGAAGGGTAAACAGAAAAGAGGATTAGGCTGATTTTGCGCAGTTAATCCTTGTGAGACCATCAACATTCCTAAAAGATTTCTTTCCGAAATTTGTTCTTGATATGTCGCCACGTAAACTGTCAAAACATTCTTAAAACATGTTTTGTGATTTTGAAAATAAAAGTTTGATTCTCTACGGCAAGAGCAATGCCGCCTGGTGTAACACACAAATCTTGTTGTTTGCAGATAACGACTTTTGTCTACGAGTACGTTACACTGCTCCCATAAGGGCAGTGGCCATCGATTTAAAAATTTAACTTTAAAATTACTTTTCTTTAGGTCAAAGGTTACGGCCACTTGGGATGAAGGGTCAAATTCCAATACTACATGGTGAACTGATAAATGAAAATTTCACCATCGCACATTTTGAGCGGAAGCAGGTGCCAAAAAAACGTAATCTGCCTTACTCTATTAAGGGTTTCCAGTTCAGTATAAAACTAAAAGTCACTATCACTATTTTCGAGATCACGCTGTTAACAAAAGAACGGGATAATTAATGTGAACAGTGCAATATGGCCAACAAACGAAGCACGAGAAGATGTAGTACACAGAAAATGCGCTGGATCTCAACTGATTCATTTTAGAAAAACGAAGTCGACTTGAATCGCGAACAATTAAATACATCAAGTCATCTGTTCCTGCCACGTGGAAAAACTGTTTAAGGAAGCCAACTCTTTGTCAAGCAAGGCAATCGATGCGGAACTAACACGTATGTGTGTGCTTCGTAGTGAAAACGGCGTCTAAATTTTTTCTATTAATTCGTTGGCTGTCACGTCCTAAAAATTTCGTTTTGTTTAATACGGGGTTACAAACGCGCCTGTTAAAAATATAAGTTGAAAGTCAGTGCTTCGTTTGTGTACTTCAAAATAAAATAAATGACTAAAAATTGAGAGCCTCGTGTGTGTACTTCATCGTCTCCTCATTCGTTTTTGTGGCACTGTTTTTTTATTTTTTTTTATTTTTGACTGTTCAAATGTATTACTGACTCGACCAACTTTCCACATTATGGCGAATATCATTACTGTGAAGAGGACACAAGCAGAGTGGTGAATCTTTGTGACCATCTCTACCTTTTTTTAATTATGAAGAATTAGGAAAGGAAGCGTCAAATTAGGACATTTAGTAATTTTTGTTATATTTCTGGATAATGTAAGAAACCCTTCTAGGTAGCTAATTGTTGAGGTCGCTATTCCTGTTTCGAGTATCGGCTACACAGTAAAAACTTAATGCAAGGAGGAGGAGGGTGTGTTTTTACTATAGTGGATGCTACGATAGGGCAGAACTGTAAATAATCATAACAATTAAAATAACTCTTTGCGCTTAATATAGAATTTTTGCGCACCCATATTTTTATTCATAACTGTCATACGCAGAAATAATAGGAAATGAACAAATGATTAGATAAAAACTGGCTTTAAAACAAATTACGTAAAAGAGAAGTGAGTTCTTAAAAATGACGAGTATGCGACAGAACAAAAACTCAGAAAGGTATTATCCGCATTTTTTCCTAAACAAACTCCGAAAATCAAGGGCCACACCTAAAGGCCAAATTCTAGTAACGTACCTTAATACACGATTTATGTATTAGCATTATATAAGCTTCCTTGCATATGTATTCACAATACTCACTAGGTCACTCTTTCCTTAACCTCGGCGCTGGCAGCCGACAATTAAAAACAAAACTAATGCAAACACGAGAGGAAACCTTTTCTCTCTATCAATCGGCATATCCGGAATTTCAAAGAAAAAGAACTTCGATATAAATGCCGTTGAGATGTATATCTGTCTCATTCCAATGGGACTCAAGATGGCTTCAAAAGTGCAAAGGAAGGCACGTACAAACACATCTATAAATGTGCAATAAAATGGCTAGTGGCGTTTGTAATGATCCTTGTCCTTGTCCATAGCGCTGTGTTTGCTGTGTTTACTTAACTTGTCCAGCGGTTCAGCATAGTAGAAGCAGAAAGGGCAATTAATTTACACTAATAATGAATCCCCGCAAATAATATATGCTTACCTAATTTTCTCTTGAAAAACACCGACAGACCTCATCTCTACTTTGCTACTTTTGTGTAGCTGTAGTTTGTTTATTGCTTTTGTTAAAGTGGACAACTTAATCTTAAAAGAATTTAACAAGGTAAGAAAAAGGCAAATCTGCCGCAGACAGGCAAGTGCACTTTAATTAGGCATACCATTCGTATATACACTAGACGAGGACATAAAAATTATTAGTGTTAAAGTGACCCAACAGAATGCACATTTTTTTATAAATGCGAAGGCGAATTAACGATTTAACACACTTCGGTGATTCAAAAGATGAGGGTGCTTGGGTGACGGGAAGAGTAATCATTCTTCTGTTTATGTAAAATATTACATGCTTTATTAAACCACATTTGCTAGTCACATGTGACTCCTTGTCTTACCTTTGTGTATTTTTCAAAATCGTTGAAGTTGTCCACTTTACTAAAGCACTTAAGTTTCCTCGTCATTTTTAGAGGATATGTCCTGCTCATAAATAAATTAACAAAGTTCAGGGTTCGAAAATATCGGAGTTTCTAACGCAGGCGCATTCATTTCCAGGTGCCGAACCGAGGAACTTCGATCTGGTATCAAGCACCTATAGAGTTCAAATACTCAGCAACGGAAGCCTCGTTATACAAGACACCGAACTCGGCGATGGAGGGTACTACCTGTGCGAGGCTCACAACGGCATTGGCGTTGGACTCAGTAGGGTTATAGCCCTCTCCGTTAATGGTAAGCTACACGATCGTAGAAAAAAATGAGACCTCGTTTTGAAACAAAGAAAAACATTCAACTTTTTACATCTCTAAAATGCGCTCTAAATGCGTAGCGTTTCAATGTGCTCTGTGACGTCATGGTGCAGCGTGACGTGCCAGTCTCACTTTTCGTCACGTGATTTGACGTCACGTTGCTTTTTCGCATCTCGTAAAGTGACGTAGCAGCCTGACATAACGTCACGGTGTAACGTGACGTCATGGTGCCTCCGATGTAGCTTCTCAATGTCCCATCATGATGTCACATGACGTCCAAATATCACTTGAAAGCTTCACATCATCGAGGCTTCATTCAAGGCGTGGACACGAAAGCTCTTAGAGCTGGCCCTATCAATCCAGAGCATTAAACAGAGGCTATGCTCGGATGAGTGGATGTCGAACGCAAGTGTTTAAATGTAATCAAATAACTAGCGTTAACATTTTGAAGAGCAACTCTTTGGACCACTCTCGAATGAGGCATTTGTTGCCTCATGCATGAAGTCATAATGCTAACTGACGATTTCGGTCAGGGTAATTATGTTTGAAGCTAGCTTAAAAATAAATGCCGCTGCGCCCACCATTTAATAAAATAGAGTACATGTTTCGGTCTTTTTTTTATTATTATAAGTTATAAAAATGACTTTCTCCCGGGTAGTAAAGCGTTTCTTAGTCTCAGAAATTCATGAGTGTAACTTAAGCCGTGGCGCTCACCGAAAATCAAGCATTCGGTTTTTTCATTCAATTAAGTCAATGAGAAAGACGATCAACTTGGTTGAAGTGTAATGCCGTTTCAGTGACAAAAGAGCGTACTTCTTTGGCCGCTTAGACTTCTCTGGTGCCCAATAGCGCTCGGGCTTCTCATTCGTAAAATTGCGATAAAAAAAACAAAAAAAAACTGACAATATGTTATCGGGGACGTCACGGTGCATTATTTATGTAGCGACTTCCAATACTTTTGCACCACCGTTCAATAAATTTACGTTTTGTAAACTTTTATTCGTTATGCCTTGTATTTATGTATAGGGTGTTTTCAATACGTAGGCTTGTTATGAAGTCGGCTACTAACGTCGGCGATTTCAAGTAGCGACTTCAAACTTTGATCAAAGGTGTACTTGAGTATTTCAATTTTTCTTGTTACATTTTGAGGCGTAGCTCCTTTTCTATAAGAAATGAGACCATCACTCTTGCCACGACCAAAAACGGAACATGACGTAGAAGACCGAGCTGTTGTGCTTGTGGCGGGTTGTGCTTGTGGCGGCATGGGCCCAATGGGCACTGGGAGCAAATGATGGCGTCGTCAGCTTTCAATTGAGTGCGTCGCCTGCTTCTCGCCCCTATTAGGAAATAGAACCACGAGCACCTCCCTGCACATGCCTACTACAAAAACCACAAAAGAAACAAAAAAAAAAACCAAAAAACAAGGGGGCTGGTGGCAGAAGGTTCGTCTCTGAGGACCTTATAATTTACTAGATCCCAAAATAGTACACAAACAAAGCACGTGTCTGCCCGTTCAAATCGGGAAGAACCACATCATCAACACCATCATCATCATTAATGATAACGTGGTCGTCTGCGTCTTCGTCCGCCGTTGATCACGTCCAGTGTGTTGTCCGCATGTTTTCAGAGGTACGAAGCTATATCTTGAAATTTCGCAAGAACACATCCACCACTAAAGTACACCGAAACCACAAATTTGAGATCGCTGTGTGCAGGCGCCGATTTTTGCGTCTGATTGGCAAACAAGATCTCCGGGGTAGATAACACTTTACATTAACCTGAAACGTTCTTTCGCTAGTTGCTTCGGATTTCGAGAGGCCGGATTAAAGGGACACTGAACGGGTATTTATAGTGGTCAAGGATTTTATTTGGACATGACATATGAGAGCCCAGCTACCCAGAATACAATTTTATGCTCGAAATTCGTTTTCTTTCCATCCGAAAATAGCCAATCGAGAACTGGCCGGTTTGAGTCGAGCTCATTCCCTTCTCACTTGCCGTTTGCTATGGTTTAGACAAAACCACCAAAGATAACCACAGTGATGGTTCATCGAAGGCACACACTCAATACTACAATTGACAAAAAATATATGATACCCATTCTCTATGGCTTCTAAAAAGCTGCAAATAGACTGATTGAAAAGGAAAAAGAAGCACAGCTACGTCATTGCTGGTAAATTTCTCCTCCCCTATACTTCTTCGTCCCCCCGTTCAGTTTCCGTTTCGGTTGCAAGCCATTGCGTATTTTGACTTAATTAAAATATACGCAACGCTATAGCAAAATACGGATAGGGTAGTGTTCGGACACAATAATAAATCGCCTTACAGAAAAAATGGTGGGGGGGGGGGGGGTGTTAGTGTCCCTTTAATGTGCAACTCTTCTCACGTCCAAACATTTTAGGCTAACATGTTATTATGTTTACGAAAACGCAACTAAACAGCCCTACGTCTTCGGATTCGCTAAATGGGAATAATATTTGTGTAATCTTAGTTTTAACATCAGCAGATACCGAAACAGAAACTTTGGTTGCGATAGGCAACATTGGTCTCGTGTCGTAACAGTCATGTCCACGTCACGTCGAGCCACGTGGTACGAAAGGTCACGGGATCCTCTATGCGGCAGTGGGTGACCGTAGAGAAAAGCGCAAGTGTCATCTGCTTCGCAATTTTCGGCAATGCAGTTTGCTATAACATCCAGCGACGTCTGCACCACTGCGGCCCCCACTTGCGCTTGTTTTGGAAAAAGTGAGTTTTCTCAAAAGCATTTTTTGGAGGCATTTGTAGAAGCTGAGGGATACTAAGCAACACCTGCATATGCACCAGCATGTCACAGTCAATTCTTGAAGAAACAAATGAACTATAGCAGAGTTAACAGCGTAATGCATTCGCTTGTCCTAACGAAAACATTGATGCAATAGTAGTTAGTCAAAACAGCCATAGCAGCCCACGAAGCTTTGCTGTGTGAAGCGACGATCAAAATATCGTTCCTCCTACAATCGACAATAATGTGTCACCGAAAGTTTTGAGACAGCAAAGCTTTTGATATGAAAGAAACATCCATATTTTCTGGACCTCGCGCGAAGGAAGTCATTATTATTACATTATAAGCTCGTAACAGGGGGATAACTTTTGTGCCATTGAAGCAGAATATGCGGGTCAGTGTCGATCAAAGCTGTGTACCACATTCCTTTTTTTAAATATTCCATTATGTTCTGGAGTATAGCTCAGCCTGCGCATACCCTGTTGGCGGGATGGAATGTTGACAGACGTGACAGCAAGTTGACGCGGGCTCATTACCGCGTAGCGCCGTGTATCCGAGATATCAGTGGTCCAAATTATTTATCAGGCCCCTGGTGGCGCATGCCAGATGCCCTTCGAAGGTCTAGCGCATAAACGTCCAATTTCACATTTGTATTCCCGAAAATAACCGAGTCTTAGCGCCTTGCTTCTACAGGCACAAGACATATACAGGGTGTTTTTTTTTTGTTTTTTTTTTGTTTTGCTGCATTAAATTTTTAATAAAAAGGGACGTGAGATAGAGTAATTTGAGCCATGGGGAAGTTTTAGTGGCCATTGCGGCCTCTATAAAAAAAGGTGAAATTAGGTAATTAGTTAGCTAATTAACTAAAATATTTTAACTAGCTTTTTAATTTTTCACTTGAGGACGCATGTTCTAATTAGAGGATTGAAGATCGACCACAGTATGGTCAAGCCGTGTCGTCAAATTTGGATAAAAATATTTCTAGTAAGCGCTACAAGGTCGAGAAATGTAACTTCGCTAAATGGCGTCAAACCGAAACTAAAGAAGAATGAGCGCCTGTGAAGTTATCGCTCCGGTCTTCCGGGCATGCGATTCGTCCTTATCGCGGCCGGCTCGCCTAAGCAAGTGGAGCCGGCCGCGATAATGACGAATCGCATGCCCGAAAGGGCGGAGCAATAACTTTACCGGCTCTCTTTCCTGTTTAGTTTTGGTTTGATGCCATTTACCAAAGTGACATTTCTCGACCCCGTAGCGCCTACTAGGAATTTGTTTTACCCAAATTTGACGACACGACTAGACAGTACTCCGGTCAATCTTCAATCCTCTAAATAGACGATGTGCCCTCAAGTGAAAAATTAAAAAAGTTAGTTCAGACATCTCAGTTAATTAGCTAATTAATTACCTAATTTCACCTTTTTTCTAGAGGCCGCCATGGCCGCTAACACTTCCCCAGGGCTCAAATTACTCTATCTCACGTTCCTTTTTTTCTAGAATTTGGTGCAGCTAAAAAGAAAACACCATGTATACTAGTACACAGGGAAACGCCCGGCGCGTACTGTGATCGATGCGGTCGTCGTTTGACCGTGCTTTTGTCTCCTGCTTTAGTAGCCCGAATTGTGTACCATTATGAAGCTTTACGACAGGCTACACGTTTGTTGTCAATAAGAAAATCGTCAGCGTAAATTATGAATGCCGTGATAAGTAGCTCCAGTGCACATTCGTTTGGTTTCACAGCGCAAATGATATTTTCGCGCAACTCTTTCTATTTAGCTAGTAACAGCAAATTAGTTAGTGTTGTAGCGGCCGTGTGAGCCGGCTTTCTCGTGCACCACCTGTCAAACACTTCTGAAGGTGAGAAAACGAACAATTGAGAATGTCGTCGCCGCATCAGCACGCGACGAATGTGGCCGCTGCAGAGGAAGAAAAAAGAACCGTTTTTAGCAACCCAGGAGTCGGAGGAGTTTTGTCCTTATCTGTTAGATTTAGAACACAGCCCCTACGAATTGGTGACCCGGACGTGATGATCGACTCCGAGCACCTGCCATCCAAGGGAACGTTCTCGGCGACACGGGACACGGCAACGGCTTGGAATTTCGGCAGCTATGCGAGAACACATCTCTTTCGGCCTCAGCTCCGGAAACCTCCGACACCGCCTCTGCCCCATCGCGTCTGCAGCTGGCTTGTCCCAGCAACGGGCTGCGACCACCTCACTCACCCTGCCGGCTCAGCAAGTCAACGTTCTTTGGCTTTTTCCACCACTGCCACAGTCGTTGGTGACGCCCTGGCAGTCGTGCCCATTTGTGTGGTGTGGTGCTGGCCTGGTACGGTCGCGTGCTGCCACAACATGTGGGGCGAGCCGCACCGCGCCACGCTGGGGCATGGCAAGTCACCGCAGACCACACTGTTCTTGACAAGGCACTTCGCTAACCGACCAGAGCTTCCTTATCACTGGTCAGGTATTGTTCTCCGCTCGGAGCGTCACCACCGGGGATGACGCTGTATTGGTCCCACAGCTGACCGCCATGTCCCCTGAAGCCCGAGCTGCGATCGAGCCTACTCCAGATTGGATCCACAGCACGAACGGATCGTTCTGCCCTTTCTCTGCTGCATCATTTCTCTAATAAGCCTGACTTCAGCGCCAACTCCCTGTATAACTCGCGCTGGCTACCTTCTGCACCGCTCTCTGCCACGTCTTTCGGCTCGTATCAAACGCCAACGGCAACAGCCCAACTCACGTGCTGCAGCCGCAACCAATCAATCGCTCTGTCCCCTACAGGCTGCATACCTGCAGGCGACGGCTTTAGGGAGGGGGAGCTCTGTGGCGGTCCATCGGCCTACCAAGCCGCAGATAAAAGACAACGACGTTACTCGTCGATACGACCCCGGTGGCACGAGGAAATAAACAACGTTTCACCTAAGCTCGAAGTCGGTCGCAACATCTCTTCCGTCCTTAACATCGAACGCGCCACAGTGGCGTTAGTATAAACAATCAAAACACATCATTGTCCGGAGACTTGGCGGAAACGGCTTCCCAGAGTTCTACCGGCAAGGGATGTCCGTCCATAGATTCAGATGCGCCCTGCCATGGGAAACTTACGAAAGACAACTCCCAGGCTGGTCAACTGCTAGTTCGAGCAGGCAGCAATACAACATTCTGAGCCTATGGATCATTCGCATGTACCGTATTTACTCGAGTAATAGCCGCACTATTTATGAACAAGGCCCTTGCGTCTACTTTCCCGCAAAGCACACATACAGCGAATCATCGCGTTGCGCATAAATAACATAGCGAATAACTAGACTGAGGACATGAGTCTCCATACAAATGCAATCTTCATAGATGGTACCTTCGCGTGAGGACTTTATCTCTGTCCTGTAAAACGCTGGAATCATGCTGTCTATCGCGGTGATTGGCAATCCGCATGCTGCGCGGAAAAGCGAACCCTCAGGTTTTCGTCATAAACAGTGCGGCTATTACTCGAGTAAATACAGGAGATGCGGCCCGCGCTCGTATATCATAAGCAAAACGTCGTTCTCAAACTACAACAGCGGCGAGACGAAACAGACTGCTCCCAGGTCTCAGCTCCGAGAAGCGCGCAGGGCGGTGCAAACGGGTGCATCCGTGTTTTGGTGATCACGTGGACGCCGGTGAGCCAACACCGGGTGGAGAAACTCATGACCTCATCGTTCAAATTCTCTCTGAGCAGTAAAACAAACAAAACATTATAATAATGTAGACATGACTCTGACGTAGTGGCTGAAAGATTGCTGCTCCAACTCTCTGGTATTGACTCCGCTGTTGGATGCGCCTCACGTCGAATGCTAGAGTTAGCAGATTTCGGCGACTTGGCTCATTTGAAAGTTTGCTGGCCAGTTTATTAAATGTATGGACGGAATTAGATCCTAATATTTGATGTGTGGTCTTCCTAAATGATACTGAAGCGGGCCTCAATATCGAAAACGAAGCTGAGTTGCCCTTTAAGTGAAGGCGTGGCCCGTGACGTCACAAGACTTTCGTTTCACCACTAGATTTAGCGAGAAATTTTATGTAACGTGACCTTAACACCAATTTTATTTCTTCCCTATGTTCAGCGTGAAATTTTACGTAACGTGAACTCAACTCCAATTCAATTTCGCAGTTAGATTTTGTAGAAACATTGACGTCGCTTGACCACAAGAGCCATTCAGTTTACGCGCTAAATTTAGCTTGACAAATTACATCACACGACTTCGTATCGCGTGACCTATACACATATTTAGTTTCCCCGAAAGATTTAACGTGAAAATTTACGTCACATGACCAGAACGCTTATCCATTTTTCTCGCTGAATTTAACGGGGAAAAGAATCTTACATCTTAACGTATCCTGAATTTTTTTCCGCTTAATCTAGCGGGACAATTTCAGGATATATTAAGTCGTAAGATTTTTTCCCCCGTTTAATTCAACAAGAAAAATGGATAAGCGTTCTGGTCACGTGAAGTAAATTTTCGCGCTAGATTTAGCGGAAAAAATGTCAAGTGACCTATACACAAATTCAGTTTCCCTGTCAAATTGAGCGGGAAATTTACATTCCGTCACACCGATTGCATATCGGTGCGGCCACGAGGTGCACCTGCTCCCAGTAGAAAAAGTCGGAGAGCAGATCTTGTAACGCATACGTGAAGCTCGGAGAACAACGAACAAATATATACATAGTACGCGTTAAAATGTCAGATGAAGAGAGCCGTGAGGGTATTGCTACACGCTTGTGATGCTTGAACGTTTCAGGATGCCGCACAATTACCTAGCACTTTGCCTTACAACTTTTTTTTGTTCACATGGGAAACCTGGCACGCCAGTTCCACCCAGCTTCTCGACGAAGTTTTCGAGCCACAATGTGAAGAGGGGACAAGAGGCTGTGCTGCGCTGTGAAGCAAAAGGAGACCCCGACCTTGAAATTACCTGGGAGAAGGATAAACATCCGATGGATCTCACAACAGAGAAAAGGTACCTTTTATTCCTTGTACAACTTGTTTACTTCATTTCGTCGTGCTTGATCGCCTAGATTGTTTTCGGTGTTGGGCGATGTACTTAGTCACAACGGTGTATGAACATTGTATGGGACTTCTCAAAACGATAAGGGGATGTCAATAAATAATAACTTACACGCAATATGAGGCTTTAGCCTAAATCAAAATATGGCTGTCGGAAGCTGCACTCAAAAAATGTTTGTAAGTTCGCGATTTTATAGAACAGAGAGACAACCAATCTCGGCGATCCATAAAATGAACTCAGCAAATAAAGAATCTCAAAGTGCAATTGAACAAAACATGATAGACGTATGCAATCCTCTGTAATGCCGCATTAGAAAGCAGCCCTTGAGGAGGAGGGGAAATGAGGGTATACTCATGTGACGTCACGAGGGTGACGTCACTCGTGACCCTCGTGATTCTCGTAACGGTTGCGACGTCACTCGTAACCCTCGTGACCCTCGTGACGTCAGACGTGACGTCACGTGTGTCGTCATTATGAGAAGCGTCCCATAACGCAACGCGCGGTTACGCCGATGGCGACGCCGTTTAACCCGGAAACAAGCGCCTAAAATCTGCGCTCTAAAAAAAAAAAAAAAAAAAAAAAAGTTGATGTTAGCCTGGTTAATGAGCATAACGTTCCTCTTAACGGTGTTCCTCGCGCTGATTGCATTCTTTGTGTAATAATATTCTAACCTTTGTAATTAACCCTGACCGTTTAGTTGCTCTGCATGAGTCGGTGCTCCTTTTTCCAGATGTAAGTGAACTCCCTGGCTCCGTTTTAGAGTGTGTAATATGAGTTGCTAAATATGGTAAAGTCACACCGCTCTACTTCTTTCGATTTTTTTGACGAAATGCACGTATTGCTACATTCCCTCATTAAACGTATTGTACTTTTCTGGAAGCTTCGCATCAAGAAGGTTTTAAGCCTAAGCACTGTAAAAAAGAGATAAATAAACAAACCACCCAGCTGTGCTACATTTCAGTATATAATGGAAGTTTGGGGTTCATCCCCAGGGTACGAAATATTGTAACCATGCTATATAATACAAGGCAAGCACAAGGTGGTGTTTCGAATCACTGAAATGCATAAAAGCGCCAATAGTGAGACTACGCTCCATTCCTTGTATCTGCACGTCACTTGTTCCACTGTATTGATATTTTAACATGTCTTACAAATCTCCGTTTCTGATACGTGGGTCAGAACTTGGTAAGATTATCAAACAAAATTTGAATGGCTTAATATAAACTAGAGTGGCTAGAAATCGAGTCCTATTATCAGGGCTAGTAGTTTGGAGAAAAATGCTCGTCGTTCAGGTACACAAAAGCACTGCGGGGTTTCCGCACACTTCGTTGTTCAACAGTCGTCAAACCAGTCGGAATATCTTCCCGTGTAGTGCTACCGAAAAAATATGGAGGCTAGCAATTGGTCAACCCTACCATAATAGCTCAGTTGGATAAATGACATAGGAAACTGCTTTGGAGAACTGGCGCCAACCTGTGCTTGAGCACCAAGCTAACTGTGAATCGCATCGATGCCATTTTTCGGGAAGCAGTAATCCAGGGTACTATACTTCGCTTCACCTTAAGACTAGACGCAACCAACGCTACGAGCTGATGGTACGAATCAGGCAGCGTCAAAAGCGCACCATCATTGTGTTCTTCATGTTTCTTTACTTGATCTATCCTGGCTGAAACAGTCATAAACAGAAAGACTCAGTTACATGCGCTACTGACGTTGTTTGATTGCTCCATTAGCTCGGAGCATCGGCTGCAATCAGACCAACATTACTAAGATTACCTCAGTTGTGGAACTCCCGCGGAAGGTGGTACCTCCCCTTACTCACTTCAGTCCGTACCCCGTTTTTCGAAGCCCCATCCAGATTTCCGTTTACTGACTGTGTGTTCCATATAGTGCGGTGGAGCGCTGTCTAGACGCTCCGCTTCGAAACGTACGTATCCGTAGAATACACTGCAGTTACCCTAGCAGCCGTCCGGCGCGTCAAACGACTGGAGGCGAGTCGTTGTGGGTGAGGGGGGGGGGGGGGGGGGAGGGGTTACTGCTCGGGCATGCAGCCTCTATGAGCAGTTCCGTAACTGAGCTAATCTAATAACGTTGGTTCAGACTTAAGCTAAAACGATGTATCTAAATACTAAACCGAAGAAGATACGACGGCTGCACCGTGATGTTGCTTACTCGCACCGAAGAACGCAAGGGCAAAAGTAAATATCGCCTGCGTCAGCAAAGCGAATTTCTGCGGACCCCGTCCCGCTCTTGAAAAGTTATTTTGTTCATTCAACTAACTAGCGGAATCATGTAAAGGATTTACGTGTTTTGACAGATAGAAAAACAGCTGCACTGGAATGGAGTCTGGTTTGCAGTGGCACAATGCCGGTGAACGAGAAGGCTCGGCGTTTCAAGCACATACTTCACAATTGAGTTTGTCTAAAGGCGCTGCCCCTTGCCTACCTCCAAAGCCGTCAGAAATTGGAAACTGCGGTCTGGCGCTAAGCACTTCCAGTGGTTTGTTATAAGCATATTGATATATATCGTCTGATTCTGTCTAAATAAACGGGCTATCTTAGGAAAAGGGCAAGATTAAATGTTCTTATTAAACATATACTTTATTAAACATCCTGACATGTTTATCAGCCACCAACCGTACACCATATTATTATGGAACGCAATAAATAACAAGTGTGCCTCATGACTCCCCTAGCACATAATACGTAGTTTGGCGCTACATATTCTGCTCGTGTGATCTTACGCAATGGCGACAATTGTCCGGTTAGGTCCTGTGATTCCACAAAGTAAGGTTTTTTTTTTTTATGATATGCAAACTTTCGTGTCTGTGCCAACAGGCCACGAAGAATCTCCTGAGCTTGAGGAAGATATTCAACCCACCATTGGGGACCTGTGTTGCAATCTTGCGCATATGTGATCGTGAAATTCGTTAACAGAGGTTGTCTGTGGCAGCGCTGCCGCGGGGAAGATTTGATCGATATTGTAATCAAACATTAATTGCTGTAGCATACTTTACATTTAAATAAAAATATGGTAACATTTTGATTAAATTACGCTTTTATCACTGAATTATAAGTTCTAATTTTAAGGCTCAAAATAAAACATGGTTCTACTTTTGTTTATCTAATTCAGGTACTCACTCACGGAAGACACCTCAAGGAATAAGATGTCTTCATCACTCAGAATATTGTTGACAGAAAGGCGGGACGGAGCTCTCTACAGCTGCATTGCTCGAAACCCGTTTGGCTCCGACGAAACTAACATCCAGCTACTTGTACAAGGTAGATATCACTCTAATAATATTGTTTAATATTTGACGTATAAACAGTACACCTGTATCTCTTGGAACGTTCATCTGAATTTTTCTCTAATGTAAGCACTTGAGAATTGATACGTGCAAAAAATTATCCCAAAGAAAAACATGGAGCTCAGCGTAATCCTAAAAAGTGACTATCAATTGATATCGCGTTGTAAGTTACACGAACTTATATTTGCTCATCTAACGACTCAGAAAAATATCAGCTTTTCTTGCGTATATTAGGTATCCTGAGAGCAACATTATATTCACTCTAACCTATATCTATAATATAGTTTCATTGCAATGTTTATTGCGTACTTTAGAGAATTAAGCCACCATTCACCTTTAAGCCTTTTTTTTCTTTAACAAATAAATTCAAACGAATGATACACTGAACAGAATATTGTTAAAGGAAAATACTAGTGTGTTGAGAACGCATTTCATGTTGTGTCAAACATATTTCTGGTTTTTGGTATTTGCACAGAGGCACCCTCCGCTCCTGCTGAAGTACGAATTTCGAAGGTCGCAAGCCGTACCCTGGAAATCTCATGGTCACCGTCTTACAATGGAAACAACCCTATACGAAAATATCACGTTCATTTTACAAACTCCACATGTAAGTTCCTTTCAATATACTCAAGTACGGTAGTGGTTTGGTTAAACAGTTAAACATGATGAAAAACAGCCTCAGATAAACAGGGACCTAGAACGGGTAAAGAATACGACAGGACAACGGCTCACTCGCAACTGAAGTGTATTAAAAGAAAAGTGCACCAACGAAACTTGTTAAACAGATTACACACATACAGATTAAGAATACACGCCCACCAGGTGAACAAATGTGCAGATTCATCGCCTCAAAACTTCACACTCATGTTCGAATGCAGATACAGTACCTCCCTCTCAGATAACGCCACCGATGGCTCACTGATACATTTGAAAGCCATTTACGAGATAATGAACACTTCGATTATCCCTCTAGTCATTTTTTGCCGCTGTCTTCCCTCAACAGTTACGTCACGAAAAGAGGGGAGACAAGAACATTCTCTGCAATGTAGAGGTAGAAGTCCCCCTAACGTTGCTTTAAGGGAATATGCGTGCTCTCTGCCTGTCGTTCAAACACCTTCCTGTTTGACCGACATATGATCTTCCACAAGATCCTATGTCGGTAGACGACACCCGTCGTACAGTCGCCGGCCATATGAGCTCCCCCTTCCGAACGCCGACAGGAGCAGCGAAAATCCCGCATGCGGCGCGTCGAGCGTTGCCGCGTTCTGGGAGCCGGGCTATTGGTACCAAACCATTCCGTTATCAAAGGGGTGGACGCAGGAAGTTTAATAGCATTCCGCGTTTTGGAACGTGAATCTGAAGCACGGCCGATTACAGTCCCGCTTCCGGTTGTAGGTAAACAGAGACGGCTTATCGAAATTCTTCACTGCATAATATCTCTGACGTGTTATATGCTACTTTTTTTTTATTTGCAAAACCGGTTTGTCATTTTAAATATTTCCTACCCGAAGAGTAATCCTACGCACAAGCTTTCTTACAATCTTTCTTAAACCTAGACTAGACAATGACAAGCGATTTTGAAATCTGTTATTTAATCTATAGGGATATGCTATAGATAACAAAAAGAAAAAGATTTGTGTCGAAGCAGAATAAAGATTCAGGCACTTTTCATGAACGCATTTTATCGAAGAGACTCTATTGTTCTGCGCTCAGTAGCGCGTTGCTTCGCCAAGGGTAATTATCTACACGATGACTTTGCAGATGGCTTCCTGGTCGGCCACTTCTTGCTTGCCGAATGATCATTGTTGTCATGCCTAATATCATATCAAACATAGGGTATTTACATTTGTAAGCATCTATCGCACACTGCTGCTTTATCTACGCCTAAAGCAAGCTCCAGTTTATCAGCAGTTATACCATCATCTCCGAACACTTAAGGCCGACACCCGAAGACGGCAATTCTAATCGGCCATGTTTTCGTGATTCACACTTCTAAAGGCTGCAATCCCGATAAAAGCTATGCGTCCACCCCTTTGATAACAGAATGGTTTGGTCCCAATAGCCTGGTTCCCCAAACGCGGCTACGCTCGACGCGCCGCGTTCGGGATTTTCGCTGATCCGGTCGGCGTTCGGCCGGGGGAGCTCATATGGCCGGCGACTGTACATTTCGCAAGCGGTGTTTGGAGCTTCTTTGTGAACTTAGCTTGCGGACGCTTTTCCGCACCTGCACCAACCTCGCGCATACATGACTCATTTTTTGTGGCGCTGAAAACAAAACAGGGATCCCGTATCGTCCTCCAACCTGTTTCAGATTGTGGGAAAGGCGATGAAAGGACGGGGGGGGGGGGGGGGGGAACTACCACCCTCCGACCTCTCTCTACGGCTGTCTTTTTCTTCTCTATGCCTTTTGCCTGTTTCAGCAGTGAGCCCGCAAGCTCAGCCAAAAGGCTCAACGGAAACCACGACATCTTGAGTCTGTTCACTTGCCCTGTGAAACTGCCTCCCATCGAGTGCACACATAACTTCCTGAGGGCCGACCCCAGGCATGAAATGGCTATACACCTCTTTACTATTTTTGAATGTGTGGACTTGTAGTCAAGTATTGCCTTCCCTGACCTCGGACGGAATGACCAGCGAACATGTTGTTTTTTTGGGCAGCGAGAGATCAAGAAACTGGATGACCTCTTCGTTGGGTTCCTCAAACGTAAATGTAAGCCCCCCCCCCCCCCCCCCCAACCCCCTTCCACAATTTTCGACAACCGCCGTAACATCAATCCTGGTGCTAGCTTTATCCGCGCGCTCGTACACGACCAGAAAATCATTCACGGAGCGAAACACCTTCCTCAAAGAAGTAGCTTCAAGAGCACCAGCAACGACAGAATCCACCTTTCCAAGAAAAATATTACTTAGAATTGGAGCTACACACGACCTTAAGCACGCACCTGTTTTCTGAAAGTATAACCCATCACGTCAGCCCACCACCATCGAGTGCAGGTACAAAAGTGGAAGTTCCAAAAAACTTTCAACGGACACACCGCTTGCTTTGCTGAATGCAAGTTCACCAGTGACCTCGATACAACACCTCACTGAGAACAGCAACTGGTTAAGAGGTGAGGAGTAAAGCATGTCCTCAACATCTACACTGAACGCCGACCAATTATCGTAATCAATGCCCCTACAAAATTCAGACACCGAATCAGAGTTGGCAACCCTAAGAGGGTCCGCAATAACCAAACAAGACAGCTGTTTTTGAAGGTATACGGCCATGAGTTTTTGCCACATACACTTCTCTGTCACAATCGCCCTAAACGGTCAGGAGTCTTTGTGTGTCTTTGCTCTGAAAAACACTTGTAGGTGCAAACTTCTGTTGTTTTTTTTTTATCCTCGCTGCCAACTGACCCAAGGCTAAGCTCTCGCACAGCTCTTGTGCTCTGTCCTTAGCCTCTTTCAGTACACCATTCACCCTCCGGAAGTTTTTTTATCGACGGCGGAATCGGCTTTTTCGCCAAACATACCTTCCGGCAACACCACAAAAACCTGAGTTGTCCCACCTGTTGTCCTGGAGTTCTGAGACTCCAGGACAACCCCACAACCAGTTGCTGTCCTCGGTGAGGCCTTGTTTTAAGGCCGATGGTGAACTTGCGTTCAGCAACCCATGCGGTGTGTCCGTTGAACCTTTTTTTTGGAGCTTCTAATTTTGTACCTGAGTTCGATGTTGGTGGGCTGGCGTGATGAATTATACTTGCAAAGAACAGGCGTGTGTATAAGGTCGTGCGTAGCTCCAATTTTAAGTGATATTTTTTTCTTGGAGAGGTGGATTCTGCCGCTGCTGGTGCTCTTGAAGCTACTTCTGTGAGGAAGGTGTTTCGCTACGTGAATAATTTTCTATTCGTGTACGAGCGCACGGATAAAGCTAACACCAAGATTTAATGTTATGGCGGTTTTCGATTTTTTTTTTTTTTTTTTTTTTTTGGGGGGGGGGGGGGCTTAAATTTACGTTCGAGGAACCCAACGGAGGGGTCATCCAGTTTCTTGATCTCTCGCTGTCCTTCAAAGAAAAACATGTTTGCTGGTCTTTTCTTCCTCGGTCTAGGAAGGCATTACTTGACTAAAGGTCCGCCCATTCAAAAGTAGTAAAAAGGGGTATAGCCGTTTCATACTTGGGGTCGGCTTTCAGGAAGTCAAGTGTGAACTCGATGGGAGACAGTTTCAAGGGGGGCAAGTTAACAGACTCAAGATGTCGGGGTTTCCGTGGAGCCTTTTGACTGAGGTTGCGGGCTCACTGCTGAAACAGGCGAAAGGCATAGAGAAGAAAACGACAGCCGTAGAGAGAGGTCGGAGGGTGGTAGTTTCGTACCTTCATCGTCTTTCCCACAATCGAAAACAGGTTGGAGGACGATATGGGATCCCTGTTGAGTTTTCATCGCCACAAAAAATGAGTCATGTATGCGCGAGGGTTATTGCAGGCGCGGAAAAGCGCCCGGAAGCTAAGTGCACAAAGAAGCACCAAACACGGTTTGTGACATGTACGACGGGTGTCGACTACCGAATACCCCTGTCTTGTGGAAGATCCTATGTCGGTCAGACAGGAAAGTGTTTGAACAACAGGCTGAGAGAGCACGCGTATTCCCTTAAAGCAACGGTAGGGAGACTTCTACCGCTACATTGCATAGAATGCTCTTGTCTCCCCTCATTTGGTGACGTAACTGTTGTGGGCAGACACCGGGAAAAAATGACCCGAGAGATAATTGAAGCATTTATTATCTCGTCGATGGCAGACAGATGTATCAGTGTGCCATGGGTGGCGTGATTTGAGAGGGAGGTACTGTATCTGCATTCGAACATGAGTGTGAAGTTTTGAGGCGATGTATCTGCACATCTGGCCGCCTTGTGGGCGTGTGTTTTAATCTGTATGTGTGTAATCTTTTTAACAATTTCTTTGGTTCACTTTTCTTTTATAAACTTCAGTTTCGAGTTAGCCGCTGTCCTGTCGTAATCTTTACCCATTCTTCATCCCTGTTTATCTGAGTCTGTTTCTCATCATGCTTCCTTTCAATATAGTTTATGAAATGCATATATGTAATTTTAAGTGCCTCTTGTTAAGTACCCATTCGAATTTTATATACTTAGATGCGTTTCTTATGAGCTAACAAGAGCTGTAATTTAAAAAAAAGCTATAAATGTATGCTTTACTTAAAAACCAAATAAAATCAGAACTAATCTTGGCTTCATCGGCTTTATAAGAAAAAATTCGTATTCAAATTTGCTATACACTTCACAGAACAGAGAGTTTTGTTACAATTTCATAAAAACATGGTTTAAAATATATATACGGGCGCCCTAAAAACAATTCGTATTTCTAAGAAATGAGTACAGTTTTCAGTTCAAGAAAGGGTTGCAATTAACGTTTTATAAAAGATAATGGCCGTTGAGATTAATTATACAACTACGGATGTTCGACTCATAAGACAAAACAATATATTTTAAGTGGAATCTCCCGTAACATTGAAATATTAAACCTACGCTCTTTTAACCTTTTTGTCGGAATAAGACATATATCTAAATATAAAAGTTATCGCTCTCACTATTCTAGATGTATTTTTATGTATTAAAAACAATGCACAATCTTCATTGTTACTCTGAAATAATGCGCTTAAAAGCTATACTACTTAAGTGCATCAGTTTCCTGTTCCTTAATTTAAATCTGCGGCAAACATTTTGTTGTAAATTTCGAGTGACTTGGAGTTGACCGATATTGTTTACCTTAAAAATTGTCCTATTACAAAAAGATTTGTGTAAGCTTGTGATACTTATTTGATAATACTCTTGAAGCACAAGTCTGTATATCGAGATGAATTTCATCTGAAAAATACCACTACTTAGGTGGCCATGACCGATCTCCGTCTCAAAACCTGAGCGCGACAGCACGCATTTCTTTTATAAGCATGGCTTAATCTAATAATTGACGATATTTGTTTTTGTAAAAAAAAATAAAGCTGTCTTGAAGTAGCCTTCATAACCTAGCAGACACGTGATATAGTTTTAGCGAATTCGACAAAATTGTAAACACGTTTGTTGTTCGTTCTTAAATATTAAAGGCTTGATTTTTTAGATTAATATTCAGGTAAACCTATCCCTTTTGCTTCCTCCTCTGCTTGCATAGACAAGGTATGGAAGTCTCTAGAATGACGTACAGATTGAGAACAGTACGGAGGTGTTTCATTTTCTCGCCTCTCTTATGGGCTTCCTACCTTCTTTAACTGCCCTGTGTCTCGTGAGGCTGGAGCGTCCACGCTGAGCCAAAGCACGGCGAAAGGCAACAAGCGTGTGCGGAAGATGGCCCGTCCTAATGAAACGCCCAGCTTTTCTCATATTATCAGGATAATACAAACATTTCTATATTTCTAGGTCGTCCAACTTTGCTGGGTCGCATTGAATAATTGATGTCACATGTTTAGTGTGTATTTTGGGTTGTATTTTCGCAGCAAGCTGGGATTCCACCAGCTCTCGCCTGCAGCTCTCTGTACCTGGTACTGAAACCAAGGCAACGATCCACAAGTTACATCCAGTCACGACCTACAGAATCCGAGTAACAGCGGAGAATTCCTTAGGACATAGTCCCCCGAGTGATATTGTGGAAGTCACAACGAGAGAAGAAGGTACATTCTCGACAAATCAACAAATTTTACTCTTTGTTTTTTTATCCGCTGACTTTGTTTTTAGCGTTAGAATATCATGTGTATTAAAGCGCCTCGAAAGTCAACATTTGGTAAAGTGTATAGGGGTTAGAATCCGGGCAGCACTTGTCAGTTTCCTTATCGAGCTTTTCGAAAATATTCGCAGAATCTCAATTACTTCTGTTGTCAATCTTTTACCACAATTATCTTCTTTTGTACTCCGCTTCAACACGTACTAATTGATCCATTTCTTAAACCAGGCGATTTTTTTTGCGCTTGTCGGTGTCAAATTAGATACTTACAATTAACCCGTAAAGTGTCAGAAGAGTTGAAGTGAGCATAGAATCGATTATATCATTTAGCTACACATGCCAATAAATGTGTTTATAGAGCAAACTCTTACGCTTAAAATTATCAATCCTACTGCCGCGCAGCTCGTGGAAAATGGATAGGAATTAGAACTTGAATTTAGAAACAAATCACGGCTTAATTAAGGTACGTGCTTCTGACTAGATTAGTGCGCTCGAAGTTTTTCAATTTCTGGCGTTCGTAATTGAAACGCGTTCTGACATATGCTCTCGGTGATATTAACTACTGCTGTTACTAGCTCTTTATAAATTTAGTCATTTTTATTTTATTTCTTTGGTTCCCAAATGCATACCTCTTGTCATAATGTTTTGTTTTTAATCATGTGGTATTCTGCAGCTCAATGCTCATATTGGCTCGCACGTGAACACTTGCTTCTATTTAACGCCGAACTGAAAAATAACTTCCCTGTCTCCAGGCAATTTTACTTTTACTTTGTTGCGTGTAAAGTTGAGGCGAGAGATACTTTTTTAGCTTATAGGTACGAAGTAAGTATATTCCGCAGTTTGAAAATAAACATAACATTGGATACAAATTAGTTAAGTTTGATTGTCTAAACGCGTGCAGTGAGCCTTCTAAAAGCGGCTATCAAAGCGTAGTAAATCGTCTTATGCTACATTCACTCTGGCAGTTAATTCGCATTAGCAATGCGGTTTCAAACGCGGTTACTTCAAGACCCAACACAACTTCGCGCGCATCTGATCATAAAAAAAGAAGCTAATCCGCTTCGCGGTTGCTTACCGAACGCCAATGTGAATACGGCATAATGGTGCATTCAAACTTGTTCGAATCTGTACCGCAAAGCAGATTTTCTCGTTTTCTTAATCAAAAGCATATGAAATTACACTAATACTTTAAGCAACCGCGTTTTCAACCGCTTTACGAACGCGGCTCAACCGCCAGTATGAATGCGGCGTTACGATTGCACAATCTTATAACACATCTAATATTCCTTCGAGTTTTACTTTCAGTTTCAGAAAACTAGATTCTAACCATGCATTTCGGGGAGGTTGATCGGGCACTTATTTACTACGAATTTACCAGACTCGATTCTATATTTCGCTTCCATTCGGGAGTACAAATTTTACGCAAACGAAATCGTTATAGTTATATAGGTATCGTAGCACACAGAGTGTGCACTATTGTCTTTTTTTTGTATCATGTGTTTAGATACTCTTTCAAAATGCAGACGGCTGATACTTCCAGTGTTTTTTAATAAGTTGCAGTTAACACTCAAATAATAATTTTTCGACCCCTCAAACTTATAAACTGTTTTTATTGATATGAGGAAATAATTGAGTTTTCATTTTATTACAGCGCCCGGTGGTCCACCTCTGCATGTCAAAGTAGAACCTACGGGTTCCCAATCGCTCAAGGTGTCCTGGGAGGTGTGTTGCCTTCTCTAATTTCCCGACGTAGAAGGTATATTTAACAAAAAAAGATCAAAGAGTTTTACGAAGCCATGCCCGTACGTTTTGCTTGTTTGTTTTGAAAGCACCAAGATTATGAGAGTGTCTAGCAAATCATATCGGTTTACACATATAATGAACGACGTCTATTCGTATTTAACCTTGTTTTTCTATTTAAGACGCATTCAGTAGTCAATTAGCCTTTAAACATTTCTAATTTTACATCTAAATGCATATTAGGTGGAATTGACTTCTAAGCTGAAATGAACTACTAGCTCAAATCGTTCAATTTGATACTCCCGTCGTTTTTCACTCGACCGAAAGCGAGAGTTCGTAATTTCCACGAAGGAAAGCTTAATGTATCTCAGATTCAGTCGCTGCTGCACCGTCACGATGCTATGCCGCTTCTGAAATAACGTGCGTTGCCATTAACCTTTACTATAGGTGTTGAATAAGAAGGAACATACCTTATACTTATAATGACGATATAAAAAAAATCAGAAAATATTTTAGAAGCCTGTTTACGTGTGCTGATCTTCATGCGCCTGTCACCTGTTTTGCCGCATTCGTTAGCTTAGAGTAGACGTGTTTCCGATTTTTAAATTAAGGAGCTGCTTAAAAAATTGCAAGATCTTAAAATGATTTTAACCATCGAATAATTCAACGTACCTGTGACGCGGGTCATACCTGTAGCAATTCATAGTTTGTAAAAATTATTTCCCGCTGTCTAGCTACACGGAAGCTGTTACGCTATGAAATTTCAAGATGTTAAGCGGCACCTTGCAGGTTCCTAAGAGCGGGCGTTTTTGCTGGGCTATTTTGAAGCCTACTGAAAAAAGTGTGGGCACAATATCTGATAAGTATTTTGTTTTGCACAATTTATGATCGTGTTGCAGTTTTTCAATAGACAGGTTGGTTTTTATTTTCGAAATAGAGATAGGAACTCTCGTAATATAATTATCTATTCAGCCATTTCAAACTCAAGAAGAACAATAGGCGTACAAAGCAAATAACACTTATAAAGTGCGAACAATCAAAACGTGTGTTTTAAATTGGCAGATGAAACGCAAACGAAATGTGCATTCGCTACGCTCAAAAGACGCGTAAATTACAGTATTCACTAAAAAAAGCAAAGCTAGCACGCAAAGCAATCATGGCCTACAAGCATCTTATCATATTTATATGAATTTATATTGAAATGACATATTTTGTTGTATAAGATGTTTTTATTGTTATCCCTCATCTGTGATGCCGAGAGAAAGCACCATTAGTTTCACTTAATCTGCAACGATCTCATTAATACATGGGTGGCACTCCGTTGTCGGCGGGTACAGCAATGGCAAATGGCTTCAATTAGTCGAGGGAGCTTGAAAATTGTGAAGCCCTAAGAACACCGTTAATACTTTACACTATGTCTCCATTGTGACAAAGGAAAAAAATCACTGATTTTCTTTTACTTCCCCCTTAGGTTAAGTAATCGGTTACTGTGGACAGAAGTGGACAGAAATGCACTTTCAGTGTGAGGTCGACGCATATTTTGAATGATCCGCGGCGTTATCGTAGTCTTACGGACCAGACGCGAAACAGGAACCAAATAATACGTAATAAATTAAAAATATACCAAGGTTGTCTCGCTTTCTGTTAACGCGAAGGAGAATACTTCGACAGTATAAGATGCAAATTAGACGGGAAAAAACGAGCCAAATGGAATAGACAGTGTTAGAAAATACTTTGAGGATATTGTTTTTAAGGTTCCAATTCAAGTATAGTTCAGACACGTTGTATTTTTGGTTGAAGTATATTCTCTGAGTATGTAGTAGAACCTTACTTATAGCATTTTTTAAGTACTTTACAAGGAATCTACAACTCCCGACTTAAATGTACATTTCCCGAATTTCGCCTCGTTAATTAGAAAAACAGAATGATGCTTTGCCAAAAAAAAGTCTTATAAGGTCATTAGGTTAAATAGTTTGTCAAGGAGAGTAAAACAACTCTTATGTGGCCAGATGACTTTATCCAATATTCACTTCATTTCCAAACAAAAGATATTGATGCACTCCCGAATACCTCTGGAGCAGTGTACACCAATTTTTCTTTTTTTTTTTTTTTAACGCAATGTATAAAGCAGACAGAGACATCATGAAAGATTGAGTTAACAAGTAATTGTACTTTACTTAGGGAATTCGTTTCACATATAGTACTTGAGTACAGGTACATAGCGCCCGGTGCTTTTACCACTTTACTTAAAGTACGTAACGTTTCATTCAGTATGTACCATACTGTAAACGACTAAACTTTCGCGGGGACTTAACTTTCGCAAATTTCGCGAATCGCCTACAATTCCCGAAAAATACGCCCCGCGAACAATCCGGGCAATATATGAACGCTACGAAACCTATACTCGATTCGCGACAATTAGAACCCGCGAATAATTTCAAATTTCCTGCTTCGGCCCGATTCGCGAAAATTTGAGCCCGCGAAAATTATGTCGTTTACAGTACTTCAAGTACTTTTTGTATGCACTTGACCCAGCACTGAGACTATATTTTATGTAATCAGTTCAAACTAGCTTACTCTTTATTGCGCAATGTTGTACAAACGACCTTTCTTGCATAGCCACTGATTAAGATACGCAGGGTGTGGTCTATTATGATCACGTTTCTCGCTTTGTTATATGCTCTAGATTCACCAAGCACTGCGCTTCTTGAGCGGCCAGTGACTATAAATTTATATATTTTTGCTCTCTCCTCTTTGTTGCTGAGTCTATGTTTTTGCTAGGGGGCCTTTAATTCATGTCATAGAATTCAGAGTGTTCCGCCTCACACAGAATATACAATGTTAAATTCGTCGTCCTGCAATTGTACATCGTTCCCCTTCCCAAACGTATTTCATGATTTTTATTTTATTGCAGAAAGAGAATATGCGTTGCGAAAACGCTAATTATCCCCATAAATGTAGCGCTACCGGTCCGAACCAGATGCCAATGCTGGGAACCTAACCGCTACCTAATTCAAAACAAATGATACGTGGTTTTCTGCCAATATCAACGGAGAAATGGGCCCCGTCCTGGGTAACTGGTGACACTCAGTTCCACTTATTCGAAGGTTCCTTTGGCCGCCATTTTAATATTGACAATTTCGGAAGTTTTCGAAGACAATCGTTTTAACATTTTAATAAAATAACGGTTAGTTCTGAAACATCGACATACCATTCGGAACGTTAGGGCTAGATTTTAGTAGGTAATGCGCGTTTGGCGCTGTGTCGTGAATTTTTGCGGTACAGAAAAACCCTGCAATATATATATATATATATATATATATATATATATATATATATATATATATATATATATATATATATATATATATATATATATATTTGTTTTTTTTTCTGGGGGGGCAGCTTTTGAAAAGAAATATATTGGAAACAATTTCAGAGGGCGGCATTGATTCTACTAACCATTTTTATCAGTTTTCTAATAGTAAAATATGCTGCCAAGGGTCTGCCTATGTTAAATTGTTTTGTTGAAATTGATAAGAGGAAAGCTTTGCTTCCCCAGAATGATAGTACAAGTAATTCTTGCAAAGGACACAACAGTTGAGCATTTGCGCTTTCGTGTCGCAAGCTTACCGTATGATGACAGTCCTCATCTTTGTATACCGCTCCGACACATATCGATATTCAGTATAAAACCAAAATGACATTTTTGCAAGGCTGGCGCATATGGGTCGCGAGAAATAAGGGTCGATTGTATGCTAATGCATATGTAAGGGTATGGGACTAATTTATAGCTCCAGAGACACACTATAAAAAAACGACTCTTAGAAACGCGTGTTCCGCTCGTTGAACGTCCCTGCCGATTTTCTGAAAAATATTTGCCACTATATAATAAAACTAAGAGGATGAAGTCCACCGCATCCGTGATTTAAACCGATATAAACCGCTGGGCTAGTTGGTTAAACATAAACGTGAACAGAAATACTGCTACGGACAAGTAAAACTAGAAACTATTGCCTGTTTTTTTTGTGTCCAGCAGATTTATAATTTTTGACCTCTCTTCCTTTATATGGTCCTCCATTGCGCTCTACACAAAAAAATAAAGAAAATTAAATTAGGGTGATCACGATTGACCACATTGTTTCACTGTCGGTTCACTTTTTTTGTTTTATTACGCACGTTGCTCGTCATATTTGTTCCTAACATGGGAATGTTGGAACTCATTCATAGAAGTAGGATGTTAAAATGTTTAATTACAAGGCTTAATTAACTCACTATATATTTTGGCAGTCATGACCACGTACGTTACATTGTGTCCTTCGCAGCCACCAAGGAAAGACCTCCACCACGGCAAGGTCCAGGGTTACTACATCGGGTACAAGGAAGTAGAGAAGGAAGAGGCGGAATTCCAGTACAAGAACGTCGAGGCCCTTGACGTCACATCCGGTGCGAGGCTACACCAGATGAGCCATCTTACCAACCTGAAGCGCAAAACGAGCTACGTGGTAAAGGTCCAGGCGTACAACAGCGAGGGCGCAGGCCCAATGTCGGATGACGTAAGAGCAACCACCCTCGAAGCTGGTAAGATCAGGTGCTTACTTTATGAGCGAGTCATTTATTTAACACCGACTTCACCGGGAATTATGCAGATGAGAATTGGACTAAAAAAAATGTTTTCTATTTCAACTTTCGGTGTCCAAAAAATGTTCCATTGCACACAAAGCTATATTCACAGCCTGCGTGCTAGAGCTTAGGAGAATTATTGCAACAGAAAGCGGCTTATTATGAACACGCGTAAACAAATTGACGTTGTCACTTTGTTTACGCTTTGCTTGTTTACGTTTGCTTAGGGGGGCGTACTATGGTCGAAGTCGATAGTTTTAAATACTTGGGTGTTACAATTTCTAAAGACTGAAGTTAGAGTAAGCACATAGATGAAATATGTCACAAAGAAATGAAAAAGCTTTGGTGTTTAAGACGAAATCTGAACTATGTTCCGCCTCAAGTGAAGTTGATGGCCTACACAACGCATATTAGGCCAACTTTGGAGTACGCAGCATCGGTATGGGACCCTTATCGAACAAATAAAATTGATGAACTCGAAAAAGGTCGGTTTATTCTATCCAATTACAAGCGACTTGATTTTGTCAAAGATATTTTGAACAGCCTCAATCTCTCCTTACTTTCGGTCCGTCAAAAAAAAAATTACTCGTCTAAAGTTTGTCTTTATGTCTTCTCATCACCGGTATAATATTCACCTGGATTCTATACTAATACTTCGCGCATCGAGAGAACTGAGATCCGTTGGCACTAATTAGTTTGAAGTGCCCAAATGTAATATTAAAGCTTATAAGTTTGCTTTTTCCCTAGAACTGTAAAAGATTGAAATAATCTTTAATTCAATATTTCATCATCGGACTGTTTAGATGAATTTGTGATCGCCATAATGAATATCTGTAAGATTGACTGAAAAATGGTAGTTCTAATATTTTTGCTAAGCAGTGGATTTTGAGTGCTGAGAATTAATTTTGTTGATTTATAGATAACATATTTAATATTTGTGCTATTTCAGCCCCTTTATTATAAGTAGATCTCGCTGAATGACTATTGTATTGTAGTCCTCGGGTGGTATGTTTAAGTGTTCTCTTATACCCCACACCTGTTAAAGCCCCGTACTTGGTTTGAACAGTAATCACAAATAAAAAATCTGAAGATTTTGCATGCTGAGCATTTTATTAGTAGTATTTTTAATTTGTGTATTAATGCGAAACACAGATTATTTTGTAGAAATGTCTTAATTGGATAGCTCTAATGAGGTCGAGTATTATTCTGTCAAATCATTTCCTGAAGTATGATGGGCAGAAGCATACAGTATACGTCTGGGTGAATGAAGGTATTCATTTAAACACTGAACTGAGATACTAATGAGTCAACATACATCTCAAATAGGCTGTTTACGCCAGCTAGCCCATATCAAGTTAAAGAATCATTTAAACGAATTATATTGCCCCATCCAAAGGTGAACAAATGGCTTGGTCCAAAAAGAGTAGCTTCTAATGAACGACGAGTGGTCAAAATTGCAATGCTGTCAGAGGAAACGCGTACTGCCTCACAGGACAAACACGGGCTTGCAGCTATGAGTAACGTGATCGCATGCTACATATTGTGGTGCCCTGGCTTTCATCGACGCAGATTGTTTTACTAGCAAAACACACCCTACTTTACAGACTCTAACATAAACAAGGAGAGGTGTATATCTACCACGCCTCGACAGTATGACACAGAGCCGGAAACACAATCTTGAGTGCGGCGTGCGAGAATTTTACATGAATCGAGGCAGTAGTATTATTTTCTTAACGAATTTGCCTCTCTCAATTTTCCTTATTCGCGCGTTTCTCATAGTCAACATGAACAAATGGCGGGCTCATTTTCAGGACGTTTAGTCATGTCCGTAATTAAATATTTTATGCAGTCGGGTACACCCACTTTTCGGTTAAACTCTTTTGCCGATTGTAGACAAAATTACTTTTAAAGAAACACTGTTTAAAGGTGCATTATTAAGGTGCAACTTACGAAAAGTACTCTACTTTTTTTACTTCTGTAGTGCCGCCAACATCTCCGGCACTGATGTTCAAGTCCAGCACAAGTGATTCAGTTACTGTGGAGTGGGAGAGCTATCCGGATGACACGACAGCAAGAGGTGCGTAGCTAACGTACTTTAACATGCATACGTTTCAGATAACCACTCTCCCAAGCACGTCGGGTGTGTCCCAGGGGTTGGTTTTATGGACATTTTGATGCATATTAACGAAATTGCTAACGATGCTGATCCCAATATTACTCATAAACTTTTGACGGGGGACTGTATTTTCTACACCTTCGTGAAAACAGTAGCTGACCACACTAAACCGAATGATAACCTAAAAAAATATCTTAAGCTGGTTTGGTGTCAGGTTCTAAAGCTGGTTGGTTTAGGTTCTAAACTGGTTGGTGACAGCTGGCTCTAAATATTAACAAGAACTCCGTTCAACAAGTACTAAAGTACCAGTTTTGCAGTATGCGTGCATTATTAGATGAAAGGTAATCATATAATAATTTGCATATAGGTACCTAGAAGTTACAATCACTGAAAATTTTAATTTGAATGAACGCAACGTAACGTTTGCTCTAGCGTTATTAGTGGAGAATCTGAAGTAAGCTTTTAAGAGACCCAATGCAAGTGAAAAAGACTCTTCGGCTTTTGCCTAGATTACACATCAATTGTATGGAACGGCGGACCGCCACAAACATAGCTAAACAAGAAAAAATTAAGATGATTGCAGCTAGGTTTACTTGCGACAGTCAAATTAGAGGAATTGATAGTTTGATTGAAATGATTAGTTTACTTGGCCTTGAAAAGCTTGAAAGCCGGCGTTCAAAAGGTTAAGTTTTTTATAGAGGATATATAGCGGTTCGGGCCTCTAGTAAATCACTCGCTTTAAGTGACTTCGGTTTCACGAGCAAACACTACTCGAAACGCGCACCAAAAGAATATATCATCCGGGTATTCGCAACGCCAGCCTTGCGGGTGCTGCGCAAGTGGTGCCTTTAGCGCATTCCCGCGCTTCAGACGTGCTTTCAGTTTACCCCAAGTTCAATGATTTGTGGCTTTCGATGACGCTCACACGTTTGTAATTGAAATCAAATCTTTATTTTCCCTAATTACAAAGTTTATTTATAAAATTTAGTTAACTGTGTTTCTTATTAGTATCTACCTTGCACTCCCTGATGTCCTTCACGGCTGACAGTTCCTTGCTGAGAAGTCTTTTTGTTTAACCTCAAAATTGCTAGGAATTTTTTTACTCATCGTCCAAACAACCGGTATAACGCGATCATCTTGGATATCCAATTCATAAATTTAATCGTGTCTAGCATTTACATACAATTTTGTTAAGGACAGAAAAATGATGTATGGGAATTCTCCCGAGAATTTTGAGTGAAAAAGAGCGATTAGATCTGAAGTATGCGTACGTACACATGTTTTACTTGGACGCCAGTGGCACGTACTATAGGCCCCAAGGCTCTGTATGGTGGCGACATCAAGTCTGATAAGGTTCAAGCTTGCGAGTGCGCCACTAACCTTTCGATTAGGTCCGCGCAGCGGCTTTGAAACAGTCTTTGATGCGAGTCCCTAGATGGCGCTAGGTATACCGCAACTCGACCAACATCGACGCACAGCTTAGCGGGAGAGCGGATAGATGGAAGCACGGACTGCCTAAACTAGAACTTCTGTGCCTAGATTGAAGAGTGCTGCCAACAACTCGATCTGGGCCACGTGATTTATGGATCTCCTTCGCTATACGAGCTGAGAAAAGGTGCTGAAAGCATTGATCGTATGCGAACGTCTCCCCTTGTCTGCCGTTTTTTCTCCTTGCCACTCGGCGAGGCAGCGCATGCGCATTTGCATTGCGACCGATCTCCGCCGAAGGCGCCCGCCATTACATTGCAAACGCTCCCTGTGACTTGAGTTAAGCCCTCACCATAATTTAGGCACTTTTACAAGAATAGTTCATATGGGGCAGCATTGCAGACAAGCCGGAGAATGGACTGCAGTCAAGTTTAAACTATTTTAGTTTATTTTTATATGAGTACACTTCTATTAGTGATAAATCTATGGGGCCACTAGCTAAACATTAAACGGTTTTGGGCTGTGTAGATAAGTATATCAGTCTTTTGACTTTCCCTAGAATTAAGGCACGGGCATTCGAATAATATGCGCTTGTAAACCTTTAAACGTCAAGGTTGAGATCACAAGTTTGCAGGTAGAAAAAGTGTTAATCGAGCTGTTTGGGAAACGACATAGTTGACCCGTCAGACGTTTTCTCATTATATCATTATTTCTCCTCCTCAATGTCTTGAGCTCCGTTAGTTTGCGAGAATACTTATACATGTTCTTTAGTCTCCTTCTATTTAAGTTCGATGGTTACAAACTGTCAGGAAACAACCTGATATTAATTTTTTTCTCATTTCTTGGGTTCTAATTTGCACAAGTTTTTGGCAGGACGTTACGGACAGCTTCTCCCCCCAAAATATTTATAGACCAAAATGGTCTGTAAAAATAAAAGACTTCACATATCAAGCTGTACATTTTAAGATGAACGTACGTCCGTGCTTTAATTAAAGTGCTAAAATTTCAATTTTCCAGTCGTAATAAAAAATGACACTCCAGAAAGTGATTTTGTTTTGTGGTGGAGCGGCATCTCTCGGAAGGAGTAGGAACGGTGGCCATGTTTGCCCAGCTTATTCAGAGATGCCTCCAACGCCGGCTGCGCAGGTGACCGGATGCTTTGGGGTGCTTAACGTCACCAATGCCGGCAAAAATATACGCCTCGTGTTTCTTGAGAAGACCCAAGGTGTGAAAGCCAACGCGAAAGTAAGAGTCAATTGTTAATAAGCGTAAATGACTGTTAAGCAACATTTCGTCTCTATATATGGGTATCTATTGCGTGACGCTCGCCATGGTGAGAATTTGAGCCGAGAATTGAATTATTAGCTTGCGTTTTCGCGGATATCGGAAACACGAAGCGAAACGCGCGGCTAAAGGGGTTATGACACGAAAATTAAACGGATAGATTAGTCTTGAAATGGAATGCTCATATGATAGTTAGTGTATGCACCAAGTTACGTGATTTTTAGAGCTCTGGTAATTGCAATATTCAATTAACGAATTTTCATCACTTTCATCTGGCGACCAGGCAACACTGCCCAAGTTAGCCACAGCATGGTGTGCATAAACCACGTGACCATGAACTCTCTCTTATTCTAGGCGCCCCCATGATCGCCCAAGCTCTCCTCGCTGCGGTACGATCAAAACCGCACACGCAACTCGGTAACCCGAAAGCTATTCTAGCTCTCGCCCCTGGCCCGCTGACCTTCCACTCTGCATGCACCTGCAAGATATTCCCGGACGACGGTGACCACGGCGAGTTCGTTCGTCACTCGTCGTCGCTGGAGCTGGTAGATAGCGGGTCGCAGTCAAAATGAACAGCTTCCAACATAAATTAATAGCAATCACTCTCATCGCTGCTGCGATCAGTGTCGAACACTTTGACAAGGTGAGCGATGCCGTAGACGGAATCGTCAGGGACCGCATGCTTGAAACCCGGGAGGTAAAGGAGGAAGCTGAAGGCTCGAGACGCTAATAGAGCCAAGTCTGTGAGTGCGTGCAAGGAGACACCGTGATGCTGGTTACGTAGCCCGCCTCCAGCTCCGCCCGGTCCGCCCCTCCGAGGCACCCGCTTATAAATCGATTTATCCACGAAACTACCGCGCCATTTTCAATACCGATTTAGAGGGATTATAGGAACATACAATGGGTCCTAGCAGTATAGTTATCTCATATTTTATTTTTGGCGTGTCATAACCCCTTTAAAGGAGAGTTCCGTGCGAAATCCGTCACCCTGCGCACAATGCGCGGCTTGCCGGCATTGGTGACGCTATCTCTGAATAAGCTAGGCAAACATGGTCGTCGTTATATCTCCCTCGGAACTGAGAGCAGCCGCTCTACAATTAAAGTACAAATCACTTTTTCAATTATCATTTTAGTTTTATTGTTAGTAGATAATTAAAATGCGATTGTTTTAATTGTACCTGTACAGTACCTATTTGAGGATGTTACAGCTCGGTATGTCGAGCCTTCTAATCTTTACAAACCAATTTAATGTGCATCTTTTTTTTTTTAGCGGGGGGGGGGGGGGGGGGGGGGGTTGGGAAGGCGACATGTTGTATATTAAGGAGACGGTTTTTAAATTAAAATTGTAGCCGTCTCTGAGAGACTTTTGCCCCTGTAATTTTACTTCAGCAAACATGCACTGCCGCCGTGCCTGCATTCGACTCTGGCAATACTCCACATGGTTAAAGACGCGTAATTTTCTTTATCGGGATTTTGACACCTAAGCGTTTCTTCATTGTTGATTTTTCCTATTTAATGTTTACCGGAAATTTTGGTTCCTGCCTAAGCACGTGAAGTAAAAATAAATACATTATGGTGAACCTTATAAAGACACAACTAATAAGACAAAACCAATAAATGGAATCTATTCTAGGCATATGTTAGACCCTTTTCAAAACTCCTTCAACGAACATTGGCTGCTGCCATTTTTGTGGAATGCAAAGTGTATGATTGAATCCGACTCCTAGCTAGCCGAGCGCTGACGCAGCTCTTTTTTTGCATACGGGTTGAGTCGAGTTCACGGCGAACGCCGAACGAACCATCGTTTCAGACACGCGCTCAGAAGTACCTGGCGTCCGCGTGAAAACCGAGCCCGGTTTTTCGCACCGCAAAAATAAAGTAGACATCCCGGCGAGTGCACAGACCGTCAGAACGTAGCCCCCAGCAGTTCGAGCAAGTTGCCAAAGTTTCAGCACCAACCGTTATGGCATTCAAAAGTTATCAGCGATTTCGGAAACTTTCGAAGAAAATGTGGCGGCCGATGCAGCCCTCGAATACATGATCTATTGGGGCAGAAACCGAAAACGGGTGAAATTAGGCCCCATTTTCTCATTGAACATTTGAGAAAAGTACTTTTAAGTTTTGAATTAAAAAATGGTTGGGGCTGAAACTTTGCCACCTTGCTCGAACGGCTTAGGCTACGTTCTGACGGATTTTGAGCTCTCCTTCATGTCAAGTGTATTTTTGCGATGCGAAAAAACAGGGTTCGGTTTTCCCCAAAACGTCCGGAAAAAAATGGCGGACGTGGATATTTGGCGGATCAGCTGATAGGGGAAGCTCATTTTCAATTTTTTTTTTTTTTAAACAGGTACTGATAATATATGAATGGTAACCGAAGAATTTTTGGCATCAAAACCGAACTTTGACGAGTGAACAAGGGGATCTTTTAGATGTACGCCAACGCGCGGCTCTGATGTCGCTCCGGCTGCGGGGGTACTGATGTCTACACGGCGCATGCGTACAGAGTTTTCTTTTTTTTTTTTTTTTTATCCTGTCGTTCTTTGTCATGTGGGTTCCGTATCTGGTATGCTGGACGAAAAAAAAAAACCCACATTTCAACCATGAATATTCGGAAAAATAGAGGTGAGGCAGAACAAGAATGCGTTACAATCACGCATTTTTCTTAAACACCTTCCAGCGACGTGGATAGAACAAAAGGATGTTTTAGCGCATACCTGATGTGACGGCATGCAAGATGACTGCGCCCTTGTAGAAAAAGTGTATACGGGTCACTTCACCCGACTCTGGTGTGTAAACAGCACGTTCGTATATCAACGCGAAGAAACGTTCGGCTATATTTACTTTATAATTGGGAACATATGCGTGAAGCCTGATGCCGTGTATTAAGATTCCAGGGCGAAATCGGAGCTATTGCACAGACCTTTTTGTATACAATTGATGTGTTCTCCAAAAACGTATTTATATATGTGTATACTTAAAGGGGTTGATGCGGCCATCTCGTACTTTGAAAGAATTTTCAGATTGTTTTTATTTTTGTTGTGTATCTAGCCACACCTCAGACAAAACCCGCCACCTCCCTCAAAATACAAAGATTCTCCTGCAGAAAAAAAAAGATCGTTATTTGTCAATTTGCAGCTGCGTGTGCAAGTTAAGTTGATGGTGCCCGTCATATAGAGTACAGTGAAGTCTACAAAACCAGTCCCCTCCGCAGGCTACATTCTCCATCATCCCCATAGCCAACCTTTTTTTTCTTTTTGAATATTTGTTGCGAACATCGGCGAGGGTAATGCTTGAAAAGTTGAGAACCGCAGAGTCAGTGGTTCTGTGCTACGAAGACAGAATTTAATGGGAAACCAAGTGGTGCCTCAACAATTTCACTCGCCAAGATGGCGTGAAAGTTTCGGGAAACACCTACATTACTTTTTTTTTTTTTAAATCAAACGTAGCACCCGCAAGAACCAATGATCTTTTTCCCTCAATCTATCGGTGACAGATAATTTTCACACTAATTTGGCTGAAGTGCGAAAAATGTTGAACCACTTCTTCAATAATTAATCTGTAAACACTTGACCTCTTATAATAACAATAATAATAATAAAAAAGAATGGTTTACTTTCCAGCGCCCACAAACAACCTAGCGGTCTACTGTGTGGTGCACAAACATGCGTGAAGTATTATAGATATAAGACAAAACACAAATTATCAAAGAAGAACAAACAATAAACTGACCCGGTAACTAGCCCAGCCAGCCATGCGCTATAATAAGGAAATTCTTTTTTCAAAATCTACTAACCTAAAATATGCTTGTCACTTTTATATTATTATGCTAATTTCACATTTTAATGTTACTACTTCTAGTGTGGTAATTTTTGTACAGGGTGTAATAACAAAAAAAAAATTAATCAAACACTGAATATGGCTTTAGTAATGCAAACGGGCCTAACTATTTCTTTTAGTTTGTCTTCAGGAAATAATGTTTTCAGTCATATCTACCCAAAGTAAAAAACTTAACCCCGTGCTCGTAATTCAACTAGAAATTTTCAGCTTTATCCTCAACTGTGACAGCCCCCCCAAAAAATACACCCCCCCCCCCCCCCCGAACTCCGTACTCGTTGTATTGTGGTTCCGGTTACAACATCCCCCTAACAAACTTGTCGATCCTCGCGTGTGATGCTCGTTCATTTACGTTAAACTTGGAAACATATCTGGTAGCATTGGAAACTCGCCCCACAATCTTGTGCAGATTACGTGCTTCACTACCAAGTGAAGGGCGGAGACTGGCAGCAGAAGGCCTTGAGCACCAACTCAAACAAGTACACAGTGGAAGGACTGAAGTGTGGGTCCGTCTACAGTCTCTACATGACGGCTACCAATAGTCTGGGCACCGCCGAGCCCCGGGACATCATCTACGCCCGAACCAAAGGTGCTGGTAAGTAATCGCTAGCACGCGGTAAGGCGGAAAAAAACAGGCATGATGAAGCTTATTCGAAAAAGCACGAAATTGATACTGTCGATTGACAGCTTAATAAAAAAGGGTGTGCGGTGATTTCTAAGTTTCTTACTATCGCTCTACAGCCAATGAGGTTGCGGCATCTGCCGATAAGAACGCCAAATAACAAAAACGCGAAAGAAAATGATAAGGTAGGCCCGTCATTTCTTATGCGCTTTGCAAGTGGGCCCATTTCGGTCTTCTGCGCATGAGTAAGGAGATTTGAAGGTGGGAGAGGAGGTTACACTAAGCTCCGCCTCCTCGAGAAGGGGGAGGGGGGGAGGGGTCGCATATGGAAACATTCTGGCGTCGGGCAATGGCGGACGGGCTGTAGCAGTTGTGGCTGTAGCCGTGAGTCCTTCGCATTATTGCTGGTCAAAGAAAAAGAGAGAAAAGAATGTTCTTCTTCTGTCCTGTGTGATTTAGAGGTCGGCTCCGATCAGGCGCTTTCCAAGGGGCAGTGTTACCAGGGAAAATGAAAACGTGCTGCGTGTTCGGATGTGGTGGGCGCATTCACGGCGGTGTGTCGCATTTTACATTTCTGGGAGGATTGACAGATTGAGAGCTCTTTCTTGATACGGTGGATGAAGGTGCATGTTCGTTCTTAGTTGGTGATTTGTCTGGTTAATTCCGACAACGAACGAGACTCTTGCCTACTAAATAGGTGCGTGGTTCTCTCCACCTCGCACCTTTCTTAGAGGGACAAGAGGCCCATAGCCGCACGAAACAGAGCAATAACGGGTCTGTGATGCCCTTAGATGTCTGGGGCCGCACGCGCGCTACATTGCATAAAGCAGCGTGTTTTTATCCCTGTCTGTTAAGACAGTAAGCTTAGAAAAAAGTGGCTTGAGCAGATACAGAGGGCTGATTGAAGTCCATCGGATTACACCCGAGCAAGTGTTCGTCTGTTTAAACAAACGGGGCAAAGAAAAATAAGTTTCCATAAAAATTTCGCCAAAAATAAAAGCAATGATTACCTTTTGGTGTCAACGAGTCTACGGCAAAACTTCCGCGATACACTCGACGCCGCTCGGATAGCTCGATCGATCTTGCTCCGATTCTCTCCAACGGATTAGCACGGCTTTTCAGACTTTTAACACTTAGGTTTGTGCCAAACATACATACCTGAATACGCTAATTGAAAATAGACTTTTAGTCGCGCGCGAAAAATGTGACAACAACCAGCGATCGAGCATGTTTGGGCTATGGTATGCTCACAGTAGCGATCACAGCCGCATTTGTTTATTTTCAGTCACTGCATCGGCTGTCCTCTGTCTTTAGCTGATTATCTTTGAAGAACTCATCAAACGCGAGGTACCCATTCTTCGCTCGCTCGTTCCCTCCTGGATACGTCTCTGCTAGTTGTTAGACAAAAGCACATCGTACCCCTCGAGTTATTTCGTCTGCCCTCCCTGAAAGGCGACGGCGAGCTCGTTCGTAAAGGTGAGACAGCTGTTGATAGCAGACGACGTTGCAAAGGAGCAGACGACGCTCTGGGGCCCTAATCTGGACACTTGGCGCAAAAGCCGGCGAGAAATTCGACGGCTATGATTGGCCGGCGCCAAGGTCAAGTGTGGCATTGGCCAATCGGAGCTCTCAGATTTCTTGCCGTCGTTTTCGCCAAGCGTCCAGCTTAGGGCCCCAGATAGTGGGTCGCGGCGACCCGCTATCTTTCTAATCGAGCCAATCAGAGCTCGGCGTTCTGACGTCACCGCAACCCCTGCGCAAGAAGCAGACGAACTTGCCCTCCGCATACTTACCGTGTCTATTGGTAGGAGGCGACACGTATAGAAGGCGCGCCGCTCCCCCTTGGCAGATAGTTGGCAGTGCCATCAGTTACAGCATCCACGTTACGCCGCATAGTGAAGGGCTACCCCCGCCATCCTAATCTAATGGTGAATTCGGGTGGTCGCCTCTCGCCTCTGATCTTGATTCAACAGAGCGCCCCCTCCTCGCCGCCAGATGTACTCCAGATCCTTTTCAGCCAATCATAACTGCTGGGCTCAGAGCGCTCGAACATTCTCGAACCAGTCATGGAAGTAAAACTTCTTGACATTCGTAATAAAAACACATAAAAAATAGAGCATATGATGGATGATTGAGTAAATTTACGCTCAGAAGGTGATGAAATAACGGTGTTGATGGACGATACGCTTTTTGCCCTGTAAAATAAAATAAAAAAAACAGCAGCATGCGACTCAGTTTTCGGAAAACGGAACGAAAACCAATGTTCGAAATTAGTTGTCATCCCATCGCGTTTATGACAGTGAATGCGCTGCGATAGCGGTCATGCGGACGGCAGAACCGGCAAATATCAAATGGTTAATAAACCGTATTTTTTGTCGCGGTGGAATATCGTGAATAACCCACAGGAAATGACATGTGTCGCCATCCGACACAAATCACAGTGGATTACAGTCGACTCTCGCTTTGTTTCACACCACAAACCTTTGAACGCCCTTTAAAAAAAAAATTCCTTGAAGCGTTTACAAAACCCGGTAAAGGAGCCGCGATCTCTGCGAGCTGTTTCTTCATCGGTAACGCTGAGCGGTTTCACCGCCGTGAGATGAACAATATCGTAAGAGCACCGGGAACACTTCTCACGTCAAGTTTTCTTGTCACGGTGAATGCCGTGACAAGAAATGTCACAAATGAATGCCGTCCCGTCCGTTGTAATTCTCGCACCGTCAAAGGTACAAGCACTTTGTAGTACCAGATATTTATCGCCGTCATGCAAGACCCTGCAGACCACCGGAGACCACTACCGGCCATCGTCCACAAAACCACGTGATCCCCGCCCAAGTACCACGTGACGCCTGCGCCGCTCCTACGGCTAGAGAAGGAGTGCTAGGGAGAGCTCTGAGAGGGAGGGTCGCCCACGGAAGGAACCAGCCGATCAGTCCACCGCACTCCGTCTCCACAACCCGATCTCACGCGCTCTGGATAGAGCACTCAAGAGCGCGCAGAAAAGAAACACACGAACTCGTCATAATCCGTTTGCAGCGTCTTCGTCGGTTATGCGCCTTCCCGCGGCCCAATTTCTCGATCTAGCTCCGGAGTAAAGATTTGACACATTGACATTCGAATCTTACCCACGTCGAGCATTGCTCTGTGTGTATTTTCCGTCATTCTACCCGTACTAGTTGACCCTAGCTCAGGGTCAATCGTGTGTCGAGAAGCTGTGAATGGCAACCGCGGCAGCATACCGCCATGTTTTTCGTGTATGTGTATGGTATGATATGGCCCTACGAAAGGTTCCTGTGTTCGACGGTTCCGGAATTTTTACTGCACGACATTCACCCGTTCCAGTAATTTATAAAATCTACATGACAAGTACTTTTTGTTTCACTTATAATCGGACTGCTCTTCGCTCGATTTGCATATCGAATAGATACACTGCAATTAAGTGGATTGCGGCGCTTTTCACAAGCGCATGGAGGGGATAAGTCTTCTCAATTTCCAGATCTTGCGCTAAACCAATTAGCACCGGCTGCGCACCGGAGCGTTTTGTATAGCCCCGTGCTCGGATAAGCTGACCCTCATTACAAACTAAGGTTGGCTGCTACACGTAGAATGCACATGCCCGTCCGGCCTCGTTCAATGCAAAATGCTTCTGCTAGGAGCCACACCGTGGCGCTACTGTCGTCTCGCACGCTTCCAATGTAGTATTTCACAGCTTAAGAAATGTAGAGCTTGGCTTATTTTGTGCACCCTTCTTACACTTCACTGTGCTCAATCAGTCTTACTGGATACCCGACACAAAGAAATGACACAAAAACAGTTTCACATGATATCGACAAAAATAGCAATGTGACATTTTCGCTTGGCACTCGGCCAACGAGTTTCCAAGGACTGCCTCTGTCGTGTGTTTTTAATGCATAGAGCACGAGGTACACGCGTGACAAGGCGCTCTTATCACCCCAGTGGTCAAGAGTGCCATGGCTAGCATATCCGGGCGTAAGGCAACCAAGGCGACCTTAAATATAGGAGCCAGCAGGGTCCCCGCAGCACGTAGTGGTAAATGCTGACGCCCTTCAACGACAGACAGAGATCCAGATGCGTCCCGGTGATATCGAACCTATGAAATCGCTGCATTCCTGCAGAGTAGATGTAACAGTTCAATGAAGACCATCATGACGCGTGGCTTACTGGACCGCGCCATCCGACAAAACAAACGGTCTTTGTCCGGCCAACACCTAGGCAACAAGGACGGAGGGTCGAGCTTTCAACGTTCACAAAAGAGGCAAACACGGGGCAAGGTTTGGTCACGGCTGCTGCGACAGCGTTCAGCTGAGGCTCGTCTCGATCCTTTGAGGACACGACTCTGCCAAACACTGACGCAACACTTGTGTCTAATCCGTGCTTCTCCTTTGCTGATTTAGTTGACGTTAAAAATTCTGCCCTCCTGTCTAGCTATTAAGAGAGGTTGGTTCAACTTGCACGCTCTTTCAGTGCCAGCTTGAATTACCAGAGCCCGTGCACTGAAATTTCGACATTATTTCAGCGAAATTGAGCGCACACTAAGAGTGGACACGGGTGCTGGATTAACGATTGGCTGGGCATCGTGTGCAATCGATGGGTTGAAGTATGCTCGGTGTTAGGCTCTGACCCAATAGCTGGGTTGGTATGGCCCTAACGTTACGAAGTTACGCGGAAGTCGCGGAGGTTGTTCAAGGGGTTTGAATTATCTTATAGTGTCAAGAAGTTACGCGGAAGTCGAGGAGGCTGTTCAAAGGCTTTGAATTATCTGGATAGTGACGGTCTCCCCTGTCACGTTGCAGAGGCAAACTCCGTTTGATTTCGTTTAAAAGTGCAATTTTATAGTGAGCAGCGGAATGCCAGAAAATGAGAGTAGGTCCCTGTAAAGGAGATAGGTGCATAGAGGCACCGCAGGCCCACGAGCTGGAATCAAAGATGCGTATAGTGCACGGTACCCGGTGGCATCCGTCACATCCGTGCGCCGAGCGCGAGGAGGTGCCATCTGGAGCCTCCTTACCAGTAGTTTGTTATCAGGTCGTTGGGTCGCCTCGCTCCACAGCGACCACCCCGTGACCCCCCACGGGCCCTCCGCGCTTCCGACCGGGACTTTGTTTACGCATTGCTGGCAAGTGTCTTGTGACCTGCTCTTGTTCCACGAGGGAATTTGTTAGTCCGTATTTGAGAACGGAGAAAAACGAGCTTCCCCACAACACCCTCCTTACCACGCTCCGGCAATCAACGCGCCGATATCCTACACTCTATTACTTTGTAACCTCGCTCAATTTCATTTTTTAGTTTGATCATGTTTAAATAGATTTATTCTTCGCGAACGTCCGAATGGTTTGGCGGCCTGCCAGCGAAGTCACACGAAAAAGCAGAGTTGCTGGACGTCCGGAGTTTATTCAGCCAGCAACCCCCAGCGACGACACACCCATCGTCAAAGAACGTCAAAAGTAACCTTGAGTCCCCCCCCCCCCCCTCCATCGCTCTTCCCCATAAACTATTGAACAGCTTAATGAACATGAGGAGTGACGGTCTTCAACCCCCACTCCTTATCTAGACCTGCTTACGGAGAGGTATTTTCTCGTTTTTTTTAAAAGTAGAATTCCATTCTTACTGAAGCTAAATCTGATATAGCCTTAAAACGTAGTGTTTCCGGTGAAAGACTTGGTCGGCTGCCAAGCACAGGCACCCTCGAGCTTTGCCGGCCACACGCAGGAAGTGTGCGAGAAAGTGAACAAAAACGAAAATGCAAAAAGAGGGAGAAAAGCAAAAAAAGAAGAGACAATCGAGCAGATCCTGAGAGGATTCAAGAGGACTTCGCCAGGTGTATAAATATGCAAAACATCACACACAAAAAACAAAAACGACGCTAAAGGAGGACCTAGCCACTCTAGATACGGTTTCGCGTGCCTGTAAGGCTGGGAATAAAGTTAGCAACCACTGTGTTCTTCATAAAAATCAATTTCTCATATGACGGTTTGACTGATAGTTCGAATTAAAGCAGAAATTATTCGTGAACGCAGCCCCAGTCTCGTCCAAGCTCGAGAACTTCGTCGTTCTAAACTCGACCTTCGTCACTCTCAACCTGGCAACGTGGCAGTCTGGTGGCTGCCCAATCCTCCACTTCAGCGTCCACCTGAAGCCTGGCATTCAGAAGGAGTGGACTCTGGTGGCAGACCAGGTGTCCGCTCACCAGCGAAGTCTGGAGTTGAGACACCTCTCGCCCGGGAAGGAGTACGAGCTGCGTGTGAGCGCCTACTCAGAAGCCGGTATCACGGAAGCCGACTTTACCTTCAGGACCCACAACAGGACCTACGTTGGTGAGTGCACGAAGCAAATATTGTCAACGCAGCCTAACAGTTTTATCAGCGGTTACTTCAAACGACACTAAGAAATGCATCTATGTGCTTCCGTAGCCCTGATTTAGTTTTCATGTTATCGACAAGAAGGGGAGGCTATGAGTATATGTGCCGCCGAGGGAAGGTACGTAGGTGCACACAAATAATTGTGAAGTGCCGGTGGATTTACTTTTAATGATGAAGGTTAAATTTAGAGGGAAAACACTAATTCAAATTTATCATTTGACCATACGCTGTTTTGCACAAAAAAAAAAGTGAACAGTTGGTTTGAAGAGAGATCCAGAGAAAAACTCCGAAAGCATGAAGTACTGCATACGCAGTACTTCATGCAGGCAATAGGCAATATTTTCAGGGAATATTTCGATTGTACGTCTTGTTTATAAACCGAATGACCACACTTAGATTTTATATCAGGCGTCGGTCGGTTTCTGCAGTTTACAATGTAAACCGGACTGGTGTGTAACTCAGTGGTACTTTATTTTACGCCTCTCTATCCTAAATTGAGTTTTATGACAAAGGATACGAATAGTTACCATCTCGTAAGAGTGAAGTTTTTACGTGAACAATGATATAAAATTTCATGCTAGGTAAACCCAGAAACAAAAACAATATATATCTCAGCTCCGAAACTTTAAAGTGACTCTAGTCACTAGCAACATGAGAAATGAAGGGCTTAGTGAGTTCCAGGCATTTTATTATTACTTCGCAGCCCTTACGACCTCAGCATTTGACAATGAAATGACGAATGACAAATAACGGAGCAAAAAGGCCACTCCCTGGGCTTCTTAGAATGCCACAGATTATAAAATACACCTGGTTTCGTTACATCCGGGTAATTTGTTTCGGTATCTAGCATATTAAGAAACGTGGGAGGTGGTCCGATTGAAACACGAACTAAAGTTCTGAGCCCAAGGTATCAGCAAAACTCAGTTACTTGACACATGTAAACAGAACTATAGTTTCCGACAGCCTAAGAAACTAAGGATGTCTCGCATTCTATCAACCGATTGCTAGGGTCAATAACATTGCAACATTAGCATATAAAAGCACGCACCATATCCGTTCACAAAGAAAAAAGCATTATCAAAAGGTCCACGCTCAGCATTTTTTTATGCTTGGAGTGACTAGAATGTCGGTGTACCAAAAATACACATGGAGGTACCTTTTTGTGTACCTTTCTGTGTACCAAAAAGGTACACGAGCGTAGGTCCCGTGTCGGTCTTCTGCTTTGCGTCCTGTCTTTTTCCCACTGTATTTCACAATGTCGTTCAACGAACCAACCAAGCAAGCTACCCTGTTAACAAAAAGGTGGTATTCAGTTTATCAGGGAAAGCCAAAAGTTCATTTTAGACAACAAATGGAACGAGATCCCCAAGCATAGCGCAGTATCGCGATACAAGCGACAGATCGCAAATGTATTCCACTGAAGAAATACAAAAATATGTTTGAAAGGTTTCTTTAAACAGACATGCAGATTCTCGAAAGTAACCTTATCACAAGGACCACTCCCAGCATTTTTTAAGCTTGGAGTGTCTACAACTTCCGTGTACCTAAACGAACTCAATATGTCCGATGAAAAATTGGTTGTGATCCAAATGGACCTTATCCCGTCAAGTTAAGAAGCTCATACTGTGACTAGACGTGAAAAAAATGCTATGTATGAAGGGACAATTATAAAGCTCTTTCTCTAAGAGCGCACCGCGTTTTCTGGACCTAGTCGAATTCTGAGTTTCGTCATTTGCCGGGATCCTTGTATTGCTCGCCCTGTACAGCTGTCTTTGTGTTCTGCAGAAATGTGAGTTTACATAATGTATTCATTGTGTACAATGTTACGTATCGAGTTATCTCACTTCCAGCTGGGGCAAGTTCCACTCACGGGTCATCGGAGATTCAGCAAACCGGAAGTGAGGTCCCTCTGTACCGGAACCTCTCTATTCTGCTTCCGGTGGGTGTATCAGTTCTGGTGCTGGTCATTGTCCTGGCGATGGTCATTGTGTGCCTACGGAAGCAGAACGACGTGTACAGTGCAACGGGGACTGTCGAAGAAAATCACTTAGGTGAGCTGACACCTCTACGAGCCTCTATAAATAAGTTAGCATAATAAAACACAAGCGTTTTCCACGACCGTCAGCAATGAGTGTGCACTGCTACTCCAACGGTTGGTGTGTCAGTGGCTAACAAGCGAAATACTAGAACTAGCCGAACCTAACTGAACATAGAATAACGTAACCTTGCCTAATCTAGGTTAACATAACCTAATCTATGTTAACCGAGCCTAACCTACCCTACCCTAAAGTTGACTAACATAAACTAACCTCATCTATCACAAAGCTAACTTAACGTGAAATATCTTAACCTAGTCTAGCTTAAATGAACCTAAACGAACGTAACCCTAGGCTAATACCCGTGCCACACGGAAACTCGAATGCCATTTACAACGAATGACATTTGTGTGATCGGCGAATCAGCTCGCAATCTGTCGCGCGAAGAATGCGCTACGCCCGGAGTGTCGTGCACTGGTTGGCCGTCCGCTCAAATGTCATTTGTTGTAAATGGCATTCGAGTTGCCCGTGTGGCATGGGTATAACCTAACCTTGCATAAAATAGCCTAATCGAACCTAGCCTAACCTTACCGAACCGAACCTTTTCTAACCCACCATAACCTAACGTAACCCAAGCGCACCTAACTGATGCGTTCCAAATCAAATTGAGTTAATCTGAACCGAACATAGTATAACTTGTCCTAACCTAAAGTTACCTGACCTAACCGAAGCTGACCGATCTGAACCAAGCCAATCCTAACTGGACCGAACCTAACCAACCAAACCGAACTGAATCAAATCGAGTCAAACACAGCCTAACACCTCACCTAACCCAAAGTAACATTTTTTTCACCTCACATAACCTTATCAAACCTAGCCTGACTAAACCCAACATAACCCCCCAACCAAACCTAATCTAATCTCAAGTCTTGAACCATTCAAAACAAAGCAGCTCGCTTCATGCGGAATCATCACTCACCTGAAGCTAGTGTCTCCTATTTTAAAACTAACATGAAGTTCTTCTCTTAGAAGAAAAAATATTGTGTTTTTTCACGAGGTCTATTACACATATTCCAATTTAGTTTATTGCCATTCCGTCAAATTCCCATCGCCCAGGTTAGATCACTCATTTGAAATTGAACCACTTTGCCGCCGCGCTCACATTTATAATATGTAACCTTTAACACTTTGCATTAACGACTGTAACAATTTACCCAACCATAGTTTAACCAATCTCAATGAACTTTCATGTAAATACCAATACAAAAGAATTGTGCAACTGCTGAGCCTGATTTGTATTTCATTGTATCATTGCAGGGCAAAGTTGTCAAATCGTTTTTCTTTGTGTGTGTGTTTCTTATTACCATTTCACTGAGAATCTCTTACTCGACTGCAAGCCGGTATCCCTTCATTGTGTTTGTTTTGTTCACTTTTTTAATGCTGAATGATAAGATATCTGTTTTCTGTGTTTTTCCCTCGTGTAATGCATCTTATGGATTCCCTCGAAGAAAATAAAATGCAATGGAATGAAGCATACAAATATTACACATTCTATGGAAAATTGTGTGTGATGCCTGCGTTGTTTATATTCTTGTTTCAATGGGGGACTAAAATGAACAGGCATAGGTACTATAAGAACGGCCCGTGCGCCGGCGTTTTCAGCTAAGAGAGCGAGCCCATCACTATGATCTAAAGCGCTTGTTCAGCAAATGTTGTGGTTAAAACATTAATTTAAATAAAACCTGATCTGTTCAGAAAATACTGAACAAAGAAAACGCCATGCCCCCTGTCTCAACGAAGATGCCGCTTTTGGAAAAAAACAAAACAAAACAAAAAACGTGCTATTTGTCCTGGCATTTGTTGAGCGCGCCCAGTGGATTCCAGCGATTAGTGGAAAGCGTTCTCTGAGTGAAGGTATCTGAATATATATGTTTTAACCTCCTTAGACTTTTTTACCTTCTTGTATCTAACGGCTTTATTGTGTGGAAATATTTATCGATCCTATCTCAATAACCAGCAGCAATATGACATCAATTTAAATAATGATTTTGCATTTCTCATCCTGTATCCTTCCCTGCGTAGCCACCTGCGCAAAGAAATTTGAACGAACGGAAAATTTTAGTTCAATTAAGATTCTAAATAAAGTTTGTTCAGAAGAAGGAAATTACTAGTGGGAAACTATTAAACTAAAAACTAGGACATTCTCTGGGTTCATTCAAAAGGGGGCCACGAGTGTTTATCTGTGATTCTCTTTAACCCAGGTTGCTTTTATCAGAGTGACATATACTTTATTTTACCCTCATTGAATTCTAGATACATTTATAAGAAGTCAATTTTACTTTGTGAGAATCTCCGTTCACAAACACGTGAAAAGGCCCGTGTTCATATTATATGTATGGCCTCATTCAATAACAGCACCGCCGTGATGTAAGCGTCATGAGCTGATACCACCAATTTCAGCTCCATGATCTCGGGAGCTTTCGTTCTTCAAAAATTTAGAGTAACATATGTCGGAAATAAAGTTCTCAAGAGACCCTTAAAATTTGCTCAGGCAGACTTTGGTGCGATAACAAGAAAAGGAAAATAATCTTCGGGGTGCAATTCTTGAAATAGCATCTACTAACGTCGCATGGAGCCAGGTATGCGCCGTGAGAGGAGCTTATGTTTAATAAACTGCCATCAGCGACGTGCTCCTTTCTAGCTTCCAGGCATGTATACGTGCTCGGTGCATCAAACGTGTACGCAGATTTGTACTCCAAACATATCGTTTTCAAAGCACCACAAAAGCAAACGCTCGCCTCAAGAAATATTCGTGCAATGGGCGAACACTCGAATATTCATTCGAACATCACAACAGTCAAGCAGAGAAACGTCTCGCGTCGAACTCAAAATTCGCCGCTGACGCCACGTCCTCCCGCGTGCAAAAAGACGCTTCACGTTTTTTTTTTTCTTTTTGCATGATGCTTTTTTTAATGGTTGTTATGTTTTTTCTCGATCATATTTTTAGCTTTCGAATCGCGTCCCCGAGAAATTCTGAAGACAATCCCTTAAAGTACAACGAAGTTGACGCGCCTAAAAGAGGAGCGAGAACCCCATTTTGAATGTCATTTTAATTTTGTCAAAACTGAACAAGGTTTCTATTTCTCCGGGTATTTTAGAGGATAAAAGGATGTTGTTTGAACATCGTGCGAGAGTCGCTGAATATAAACAAAGCGGCTCACGCATTCTGCTACCTGAAAAGCACGCCTCCATCTATCTTCGTCTATTTTCGTACTTTTGGAGTCAGGAAGCCGTACCGGTGACTATATCGTGCACGACGAAATTTTATTCCAAGCGTGTGGCACGTCCGTTGCGTCCCCCCAGTTATTTCGGTTTGTGGATGCTTTCGAGAATGCTTGGCTTTTCCATGCTTCCAAGCACTTTACAAAAATTAGTTTTGTAAAGATACTCTTTTGCCAGAGGTCTACTTGGTAATAAATATGTATGGCCTTTTTGTCGCACAAACTTGATATGCTAAAAATTCAGTTAAAAATTATTTATTTTTTGTTTAATTATTTTTTTAATAAAATGGGGTAAAAGAGAGGTAGAAGCAAAAGCTGCCGTCCCAGCTTGACGAGTCACCGCCCCCCCCCCCCCCCCTCTCTTTTACCCTCACGAATCAGCTTTAGAACAGGACAACGTCAAATTTAAAGGGCAAAATTCAATTCAGTTATCAAATATCTTGCAGAATATTAGAAATCACTAAAACAATGCTAAACGCGGAAAGATATGGACGCTATAATATTTTGCTTTTGACTTCAATATCCACTTTTTAAATTAAAGCAATGCGACTATAACCACCAAGAACGATCTGTTGTTTTTTTAGTGCGAACTACACATTGAATGCTGAAATAGGCTCCAATTTTATCTAAAAAAAATAACTTTATAATCTCGTTGTGTTTTGCCGCTGTTGTTTGTAAATATTTGTGTTTTCCGGTTGTGGTTTATCAGCGTTCAATCTAAGCTAAGAATCATTGGGTTTATGAGCATCTGTTTCTTGTATATCAGCTGGAGCACTTTAAAGTAATCTAATTACTTAAATCTTTACTATGATACATTTCTGAAAAAAATTGCCTTTGCATAAGTCTAGCGGGTTTCCACAGAAGTTATCATCAAAGATGCCGAATGAGTCCTTTTCTTGCAGGAACATTGCTTGGTTGTGATTCATCTCACGTCATATATGAAATTCTCGAGCAGCATAAAAAAATAATTGAGTATTTTTTGAGCCAAGCTTGGAATAGTCTATGAATTCTACCTAGATGAGAATGCCTGCGCGTGACGCCGTCATTATTCTACCTCATGGGGCCAAGTTGCGGCAAGCATGCTGCAAAGATGCGGCAAAAGATACGGGAAACATGCGTCCCATGCACCAAACAGGCTGAAGCTTGTTGGGAGTAACCGCACCGGGGCAGGCACGTCTGTCGAAACGCTGACGACCGAATCGCAAAGCAAGGAACGCGCGCATCACAGATCCCGCCGTGCCTTTCTTACGTCGACGGAGACCATACGGTAAAAACGAAGACAATGGAGCAAGTAAAATGTCGTGCTCTTTGCCCCCGATCCGTCTTTCACGTCTAATTGTATTTTGAGCTTTTCATCATGCGCAGGAATTAATTAGTTATTGGAAATCACCTCCTGGGTCCATGTTATGTAGGAAAGTGATCTTCAAGAGTGTATTTTTTTATCTTTTAATATGGAGGGTGACAAGCTAAAGTGAATGACAGATCAGAAACGTATGCGTGCTTTATTATGCTCATCATTCCTGCGCGGTGGTATGTTCTCCGGCGTTATGATTGTCTAATGCACCGATGTGTTTTAAATATTTGAGTGATACTAAGTTTATAGAGACAGGCCACGCTTCGGCCTTCTTAATCAGCGACTATAGTCTAGAATAGTTGCAGATATGACGTCTGGAGGGACTCAATTAGAACCCCCTTTGTGTTCCTTATTCCCCTCGAGCTATTGTTGAACAGGCAGTCTGTCTATCCCTCTTAACAACTACAAGTAGCTATTTCTTGTGAGTCTAAAATGGTCATTAGCTATGTCCTCGCCAATAGCACATTTGATCTAATGGAGTATTTTGTGGAGCGTAAATACGTCAAGAACGCGAACAGCTCTAGAGACAGCGAGCAGAAAATAAAAATAATATTTTCACCGACAGCTAAAACATAGGGCGTTCCTTGCGATGTTCTCACTTCTTACCTCGAGATATGTTGCACATCCTTCCCATCGGCGCATGCCACAATTTAATTGGCTATGGTGAGATAATAAAATTGTCCGAACTTCCCACGCCCTGCGTTTCTTAAGTTGTGTTATAATATGACGTTTGTTTCGTTCACTGGTTCCTGTTGTTGCAAGAGCGTAGCGTTCTTTCAGCCATTAATTTTTTTTTTTAATTTTATATCTTACAATAATTACTATCATCCTCATCTGATTATTATGTGTGTTCATGAACACTGAAATCGCTTGAAATAATATACAACCACTGGTTGGACCCACACTCAAAGTTTAGTCAGGCTTCTAACAGCAACATATAATTTTTAAAGCGGCAAATAATTTAGTTACGACATAGATAAAAGTTGCATCACAAAATAAAGGCACTCTAAAAAAATCTACACTTTACCATATTAAAGTAGAGGGTAACAAGTTTATGATCTTAACGTTTTTTTTTCTTTTGAAATAAAACAAAAAATATTTCTTCGCGATATTAGAGTTACTTTCTGGTTTCACGTTGCATGGGTTTATCTTCCCAAATTAAGCTACCTTAAACTCAATCAATCTTTGTATATTCAGGTATCGCGGCATATGTTGATAAGTTAAATAGATTGCCGTTCGCGCTCGTATGTCGTACCAAAGTATTGAAGAAACGTAGAGGAAGTTGGTTCATGTATTACATTCTTTTATTAACTGTCTGGACAAGTTTAGCTTGTACATAAAAGAAAGATATAACACGCGAGCTGATCAGAAATAAGGTTTACTTGGGACAGTAGTTCTTGAGTATCCGAGAATCCTTAGAACCCCTTTTCACATGAGAATAATCGGTTCTAGGTATCTCAAATATACCTGCCACCCGAAGATTCTTCTCATTAACTCAGTTGACTGTGCCCAGACGTGAAATAAAGTGTGCGCCTAATAATTACTTCGAAACGCTCCTCTGCCTTTAGCTAGGTGTAACATATCTAAGGAACCCTTGAGTTCTTGTTATGTTTACCCAACTAGCCAAAAATTTTTATTGGTAGAAAACAAAAGCTAATTGGTGCGGAAATAGATGATACATACTTTATAGACCAGGCGTCGGCAACCTTTGTTAGTGGGAGGACGAGTCGCCACGAAGCCGACAAGGAGTGGGCCGGACGACAAGTCGCGAAGGGAAGCCGGGGGAGGCAGTCGAAGAAGAGGCAAAAAATAATTAAAGATGCTCTCTTCCCAAGTATGGGACGCAGGACAATCCTCATTAGAGGTCAAACCCGGTGTTGGTGGTAACGTGCTTGCCTTACTTATTTCCTTATTTCAAGTAACTGGTAACGTATCCACGTTACTCGTTACTTATTCCCAAGACTTCACAAAAATTACACTTTGCATTTTTTTCGTGTTTTTAGGCGCCAAGCTTTGTGAGATTATGAGTTTTTGGCGCTTTTCATTGCGTTCTCTTGTATTTATATCAAACCGCAAAAAAAAGATCAATTATTTGTGTTCAGTTTTCCATAAACATGTTTCTTGAAATTTGGCGCTGATGCATACCTATGTAGAAACATACATATGTAGAAAAGAGTAACGCAGCGGGTTCATAAAAACAAAAGTAACTAAAAAATAGCGCGCGTTACTTTTTTCGGTAACGGGAATGGTAACGCGTTTCTTTTATTTTGATGCAACGTAGCCGCTATAAGGTTTTTTTGTTTGCAAGTAACGAGTAACGTATTTCGCTACCTTTTTATTTGGTAACACCTACAACACTGGTTGAAACTGTCGTGTGGTTCTTCAATCTCCGTGAGAAAGCTGCAGAGAGGGGGGGGGGGGGGGGGGGTGCTTTTTGATGTTGTGCCGGCGGCCGCATGAAACTGTCTCGCGGGCCGTGGGTTGCCGACCCCTGTTATAGACCATGTGCTTGAAAAATGTAGGCATGTTATATTATGTATGAAAAGAACACTAGAGTTCATAGTTATACTTAATGGTGCCATATTTGATTTGTCATATTACATTGTATTCTTTTGAAAGTATTTGTCTCTATAGTCACAAAAAAGGGTGTGTTCTAGTTTTATAATGGTTCTTGCTTCCTGATTGGTTCATCGGCGGTCTTATCGTTTGATGCCAATATCTTATTGGCTTCGTTGAGATGACTAGTTTTCTGGCGCTCGTCGTGCCCTGTATTTCTTAAGGTGGCCTGTGACTATAGTCATTGGTTGTGGATCCTGATCACGGCATGTAAAAGGAAGTACAGAGAAAAGAGACGCGCTTTTATCGGACCGGGTGAATCAATCAATTAATCAATTAATCGATCAATCAATCAATTCGTATTTTATTGTGCCCAAATCAGCTGGTAAAGCTGCTTGAAGGAGGTAAAAGACAATCACACTAAAATATTTCACACTGGAAAGTGAGCCTCAGTATTACACTTTTCTAAAGACATACAAGGGTTGTGAATAGGTTTATGTCAGGGTTAAAACACTTGTCATACGTGGTCTGCATTAAAGTTAGAAGGATAAAACATTAAAGCCATTTACAACTCACTGTAACGCCGAATTAGAGCACAGTTCTTGAGGAGGAGGAGGGAAGTGAACTGAGGGTCACGTGTTCTCGGGGGGGGGTCACGTGACCTTGGTGGGGGTCACGTGACCTCACGGTTACGCCGACAGACGCCGACGCCGCTCAAGCCGGAAACGGGCGCCTAAGAGCTGCGCTCTAAAAAACCTCGACCGGTTTTCTCGCTAGAAAAGCTATACCTCGCAATAAGTGTGAAGCCGGTGAGGGTGATATCCTAGCGGTTGGGATACAACGCGAGAGTATGAAAATGTGAAGTTACCTGGAACAAAGGATTGTCGAGAAACACACAGTTTATCTATGAGCACACATTCACCTAAGCCCAATATTGCCAAACAAGACCTCACATTGTGGATGCGTGTGGGATTTATATAAGTGAAAAATAAATTCCGAGGGACACCTAAGCACTCCTTATGAGTTGTGAATTCAAAAGCATGAATTCCGTTTTTCCGCTCCCTTACTTCGACAGCAGTGTACTGGAGTGGACGGCCACGCCTCGCTACTGCGAGGTTGCCGAGCGCGCACTCTCGTGAAGCAGCCGCAGATATCCCCCCCCCCCCCCCCCCCCCCCTTGCAATGCCTGATACTAGAGTGGCGACCGAGCGCACGCTCTCGTGAAGCGGCCGCCAACGGCCATCTGGGAGCCTTTTTGGTCAGCCGATGGGAAAAGAAGCATTTCTTTCACGTTTCTTTTTTTTTCGGTTACAGACACCGCCACTTTTGCTTGATGTGATAGTTGATGCTTTGGCATTAAAACTTTTGTTGGCCAAAATATGATATTCTTTTCCTTCTTTCCGGTAATTTTTGTCACTAATATAGATGCCTCATGCGCCGATAAAGTATTTTCTTCTCTTGAATATATTAGACTTAGAAAATGTCGGCTCAAAAATAAATTTCATTTTTCTCGATCTTCTGATTTAAATAACATCATATTCTCCAACTTCCGCGTTCTATTGCAAACATCAATGTCACATTGCCACGCGTGGGATGTGACGCTGACGATTGCGATAGAACGCGATAAAACTCAAGTTTCTAGGATGCATAGGTCATTTACACAAGCCAAAAAACACGCCTTATATATTTTTTTTTTTTTTTTGCTCGAGAATTTTTAGTATTTTTGTCTGTATTTGCTTTGTAAAAATAAAGCACAAAGAAAGTGAGAAGTTCCCTGACTTGCTTGTTTTTGTATCCAGTTGAGGAACACGCTTACTCTTCTTGGCTTTTTCTCGCTTCTTCTATGTAGACGACCCTCTAAGCAAGTGCCGTGGCAGTGTGGACAACATGGGTATGGCCGAGTTCTGCGCCATGAAGCAGCGCCTTCAGCAGCAACAACTCCGCCACAAAGAGGAAGAGGCCTACTCCAAGGGAACGTCCTTCTACGCGTCTCCCGCGCGAAAGCCGGTGCCGGTGTCTTCAGACCCTAGTCGAGGTGAGCTCAGAGGCACCGTGGCGTTTAGAGAGCACGTTCGTCCGCTTCTTGTTGCAGGGGTTGTGGCGACGTCGAAACGCCGAGCTCTGAATGACTGTGATTAAAGAATAGTGGGTATCCCTAGAAGCAAGTTTGCTCAATGAGGTCTATTCACTATCCTTCCAATCGTATAAACAATCTCAGAGCTCGGCGTTCTGACGTCACTACCACCCCTGCAAAAAGACGCAGACAAATGCGCTCACCGCATACCCCAACCTTACAAACAAGACTGCGTTTGGCCGCACAGGGTGTGGGCAGTGCGCTTTCGCAGGAACCGGATTCGCACGAGACGAATCATCTGCGCATGCACAGTGACGATAGCAGCGCCACCGCAGTAGCGTGACATAGGAGAGCCGAGTTAGTGAATACTCGGTTTCACACATGTCCAACGACTGCCGACGCTACGACGCGATCGATCCAATCGAACACCGAAAATAGTGCATAGTCACGGCGCGCGTCGTCTTTGCGCTTTTGCTATCGTAGGTGGAACCAACCACGCTAAACAAACGCGTCGTTATGTGGCGTGTTTTTTTTTTTTTGCGAGTTGATTGGTTAGTTGCTGATACAAAACGCACGAAAACGTCGGATGCTATGACAATGGCCTTTACCGGCTGCTTCATTGGTTCCTTCGAATCGTTGCGTCTGCTGGGCTTGGGCTTGGAGTGAAAATAAGTATAATCCCTAAAACCTGCGGCTAATGTTCGCTTTTTTAGAGGTATACTAAATTTCCTGTACAACTTTTAAAGTCTCTGGATATGACACGATCTGAAAAAAAGCTTGCGGATTCACGGAGACCGCTAACCACGGCGAACAACGCAAAGATTTAAGGGAATCGCAAAGCTAAGCCGCCCATATATCTCAATAATGCGTTGGGTACAGGGACAATGAGCATCGGAACCATCATGCGTATTTTCCCTGTGCCTATCCCCGTTTTGTTTTGTTTAATCGTGTTGGACGAAATCGCGTTCGCTACGTTATATATTTTGTTCGTTGTGGTAGACTGTCTTTGTGTTCTGTAGGAAAGTGAACTCCCACACATTTGTTTTTTTTTATATAGCAAAAATGCTAGTCACAAAATAAAAATACCAACACACCCTCCCAGAAAAGGCATTTATGACGTTGCGACATTTTTTTTTAGTAATTACCATACATCCTTCGATTTTGTGGCTCAGGTATTGAAATTTAAGCATGTTTATGAATGCTCCTTCCTCAAAACGTGCCTTGGGACGTGAATATCGGGCTATTTTTGATTTCTTTTTGTGATGGATTGTTTTTTTGTGTGGTTATAGCTTTTTTATTTTTGGTTTTGAATAAATTGTTACAAATATCGTTTTCTTTTTAAAGAATGCCTTCCTGTTTTTGGCCGTGCAGTCTATTCGTTTTGCCAGTCATTCAAATTTATAGAGCACATCGACAGAACGGCAAATATTGAAAAGGCGTCCAGGCTCTACACCGAAACCTGCTCTGATGGAAAAAGGTGAAATGAGGACTCGGGGCTCCAGAAGGGTTGTGTGGAAAAGAATATATATTATTAACAAAAATATAATAAAATAGCAAGAAGCATTGGAAGCAGAGCGAGCTATATACAAGTCACATAAAGTGAATCACTCAGGTTCCGCTTACAAGGCGTCGCCCGTTCTTGGGAATCACAGCAGCCTTGATCCTGGATGTTGATTCTTCAAGGCGATGAGTCCGAGCAGACGGCAGATCCCCAGCAAGCCTGGTTTCAGCCCTCACAGGCCTTTCGAAGCCTGTTTAGGGTTTAACTTGGTTGTCAGGTTGACCGGTGTCGCGTTGCGTTCGATCTCGATCACTGCCTTCGGTGCTTTGCCCCGAGCGCATCTCTCGGGCGCCCCCCACTGCCTCGTCTTCTTCGCTTAAGTCCCGTTCATATTGTCACAACTACCCCCCTTTCAAGACAATTGTGTATATGCAAATACTAATCACAGAATCTTTTCAAGAAAATCACAGTACTTGAGTGAACAAAAAACAACTGTTCGAAATACAACGGATGTACACGAGTACGCCATGAACGACAAACTAGGATCCCGGAAAATCTCAGATTTCGCGTGAACTGATTACGAGTCATTGAAGCCCTCCCGTATGATGCGGCAGTCCGCTCCTGAATGTCCTCCAAAGACTCTTGGGACCAGCGCTGGCCGTTCTCAATCTGCTACTCCTTGCGCCTCACATTCTTCAGCCTCAGAACTTCCTGGTCCTTCTCGGCCTGCGTCCACCTGCGCTTAAGCAGCTCGCCGTAGAACTTGGACGGCCCCTGTCTTTTGGGCCTTGAGGTCGATGACCTCGAGTACCCCCGCCATAGAACTGGGCAGTGCGGCTGTCCTTGTAGATGGGGTTGCAGTCCAAGACCATGTTCTCTGACGCAATCCAGTCGAAAAAAACTTGCTGTGGTTGAGGAGCTCTCTTCTTCTAGAGGATCCACAGTTAGCGCTCCTTGATGGTCTCGAACTCCTTTCCCTTCTTCTTCTCCTTGTGCTCCTGCACCTTGTCCTTGTCTTTCTCATCCTCATCTTCCGAGAGGCGCTCACTCTTTCGCTTCTGCTACCGATCCTCCCAGATCGCACGCCTGTCCAGAATCCGGTCCGGAATGTCACCTGTGCTGCTCTTGGCATGCACGCAGAACAGCTACGGCTTCTTCCTCTCCTCGTTCTCGTCCTTCACCCTCTCCTTGCTCTCCTTGTCTTCTAGGAACGGTCTCTGTCCTTACACCTCTCCTTGCCGTGCCCCTTCTCTCGGTTCTTTTTTTTTCTCTGCTACGAGGCAGAGACCGTTTATTGTTTTATTCTCGAGTGTTTCCTGTGTTCTTTGCTCCGAGACCAGCGGCGTTTTTCGCGTTTCCGGCCGCGATCCAACAATCTCTTGAGCTCCACCGAGCTCGCTTCGGACTTGGTCTGGAGGCGGTTGTCGACGTCCGAGGTCATTCGGTTCGCTCTGCACCACACCAACAGGACCCTCCAGACGTTCAGCTGTGCCACATGGCGCCGAACCTCTCCTTGGATACGATCGGTGGTTACCTTCGTTTCCTGGTGAACCGCCATAATTTCTTCATGTGCCCCCCCCCCCCCTCAGTATCATCATTCGACACCAGTTGGAAATGAGTGTCGAATGAGGGTTCTCGTACCTCCTGTAGAGAACATCCTCACGTAACACAAACTCAGATACGTGAGATTTTACCGAGACGAACTTCCTCCCAACGGCCGCAAAGCATTTCCTCAGCATTTCGTAATTTCTCTGTGCCGTTTCCAGATTGGTGTGGTCTATCTCTGTGGGTTCCAGTGTTACGACTGGTAGCTCAGAACTTGTCGTCTTCCTGGTTGCTTTTTCCAGCTCCCCCGCACATCCTCCATTTCTCTTCAAGACTTCACAGTCTTGTCTCAACTTTTTCTCACTCACGGCGTGTCTTCCAGCAGTCACGCTCTCCTCTGTCGTCCTCCTAGAGGACCGTTCCTCTTTGTCCTCTTCAGACCTTGTCGTTCGCTTTCCTTTCCATTTCTCATCGGGATCATCAACCCTCCTCACTCCACTGACGTTTCCAAATACCAGATCATATAACGGATCCTCCATGCACATGATCGTTATGCTACCCGTAAAATACGGCGTTTTCGATTCGATCTCAGCCTCCGGTAGGTATTTAATTGTCCTATCAATGAGGAAAACTGGGTTAATAACGCCGTTTAACTGATGATCTGAAACCAGATCCCTCCTCAGTATGACCGTGTTGCAACCACTGTTTCTTAATACGGTCATTATCCGGTTCTCAGCTTCAGCTCTCACTACTGGCATAGTTTGCCCCAGAAACCGTGGGGCCTTTTCTATTGCCGCATTTAAAATTGGCATCTTGTCCCCATTTTTCAGGAGGACAAATGACTTTTCTTTTGGTGTTTCTTTGTCAACATCCGCAATCATACGAAAGCCTGGGGCGCCTTGTCATCCTTTTCTTTTGGCTTCCAGGTACACGTCTCTGACTTGTGCCCGGCCTTTCCACATATTCAGCACACAGGGCTGCGTTTGTTCTTAGATCTAGTCCAGCAATCGGCCATTTTGTGACCGGGCTTGTTGCACAAAAAGCAACGGCCCGCTTCCTTCGTTTGAAGCTGCGGTCAACCATCTTTGTTCCATCCTCCGCCGTTGTGTCCCACTTCCTCTTCTCTCATTTTAGCCAAACACGTTTGTCCCTGCGCGTCTTAGAAATGGTCAGCTGTTGTGGCCAACTTCTCAAGACACTTGCAATTTCTCTCCTTTAAGAATTTAGCTAGTTTGGTACTGCATATTTTCAGGAACTGGTCGCCAACTATCGAGTCTCGCCCGCCTCAATCCAGCGGTCTAAGTAGCCAAGGACCCGAGCCGCAAATTGCTTCCCCGTCTTTGAATCTTCTGGTTTGCTCTCCCGGAATGTTTCACGATATCCCTCGGTGGTGTAGCGAAACCTCTGCAAAAAGCTGAGCTTGACCTTTGCATAGACAAGTGACTCTTTTGGGGTATTCTGCCAACAACTGTCAGCACCTCGCCGGTGAGACACAAACTTAGGGACATCGCCCGTTGTCCCTAAGTTTGGAACCTATGGAACCGCTGCAACAAGTTATAGCACTACAAATGTTAACATAAAGCCACTAGCGACTTTTTTAGAGACTAAAGCTCACTGAAAATAAAAGTTACTAAAGAAGGTCTTAGTAAGCTTCTATGAGTCTCAGTATCACGATATAATCTTCATACATGTATTTAGCTGAAGCTAATTTTACCAAAAAGGTGAAAGAGGTGTAGAGAAACAAGCTGCTGTTGCAGCTTGAAGAGGCCCCAATGTCCTCTTACAGATCAGTGCTGAGTTAGGCATCATCCAAATCAAAGCGAAAAGTTCAATGAAACTATCAATAGATATTGTACAACGTGAGATCTGTTTAGTAAAATAACAAATACAACACAAAATGTTTATTTTAAATATTCACTTTACATTCCAAAATATAATTGTTTTTGAAGAACGATATCATAAGACCATAAAAACTCTGAGTAATATGTACAATTTTTAAAATTGGTTCCTTTGTGAAGAAAAGTATATAACTATTTAACAACAAACAGGCGAATACTATCCAATTTGACTCAAGCGTCTAGACATAAATAAAAGAACTCCCGGAAACGACCTCCACTGCTGCTGCTTTTGTTGTTTGCGTTATGAGCACGCTCTTCTTTCTTTCGTAATCTTGACCTAAAATAAAATGGAGCAGAATTTTCTCGGACCCGCTCCACCGCTCGCTTATGTCGGTCCTATAGACATTTCCATCGCTTATCGCCCAGGCGAAAAATGTCGAGTCACTGGACTGTTACGCAGGCGCGGCGTACGATTTTTTCGCAAGAGGCGCTATTGCGCGTGTTTAGAAGGCGTTTAACAGTCCAGTAAGAAAAGATGGCAGCTCGCAGAAGGCGTTTGTTGGAAAGGTCTATACTCACGTCTTAAATGTCCTAGGAGAAACACTTTTTTTTTTTTTAGTTCACAGAGCAGATTGGGAAGATGTTCCCCGTCAACTTATATCTAGCATGTCACGAACCTACCGCCATGCCAAAGTCCTGGAAAATTTTGGTCCCGGCTACTCATAGCTGCGGCCATAAATTATCCACCACTTGGATCAGTGCGATCACGAAGCGGGCATGTCACCCTCTTTTGCGGGCGTGGCTAATACTACCTAGAAGACGTGCAATCACGTTAAAGCTGGAGGATAGTTACTGCAAAGCGGTGTGCGCGTTCGTCTTGGCGTCATCGTGCGCTACCGTAAAGCTCGTTCCAAGACGTCATGACTAGCACTGGCGATGACGCTGACGTGGAAAGAGGACGCTACTTGTATCCACTCGCAATGACGCTTGGGGTTGGAAAGACGCAGGTTATAGTTTTTACCGGGCGTTTGCCTTTCTCTCCCTTTCTCCGCTAAATTTAGCGGAGAAAGTGACGCCACATGACGTCCCTTGTCGTCAAGTGATGTATACACCTTAGAGAAATTTACGACACGTCACCTATTCGTCAACTCAGTTTCGCAGCTATGTTGACCCGGAAGATTGACGTCTTGTGGCCAAAACATTAACTCACTTTCTCCGATAAATGTAACGGGAAATTGACGTCGCGTGACTTGTTTACACCAATAAAGTTAGCTGCTGAATTTAGCGGAAAAATTCACGTGTTGTGCCCTAGGCACCAATCCAGTTGGCATCTAAACTTTGCGGGAGAAATAGAAGTCGCGTGGCATGAGATTACGTGACCAATGCAACCATTCAGTTTCGTGGCTCGATTTTTTGGGAACATATATGCCACCTTGAAAGACCGATTCCCTCACCAATGTCTATATTGCACTTCAGGTATTATAGGACTTTGAAGGTAAATTTCGCTGCCAATTTTTCTGTTTAATCTTTACTCGACTAGACATTTGTTCGGCGAGATGCCGAACTAATGGACCATTCATGTTACCTCTTTTATATGTAAGAGAGCTGCAACTGACTTCATTAAAAGGTTGATCAAATGCAGATGCCATTATGCTCCACAAAAAGTTTCTAAAAGAGCTTTGTCTCTGAGGCGTACAAAATACAGTCAGTCCAGCCCGTTCTTCATTTCTTTTGAACGCGTTCTACAGTACAAACAAACGGAGCAAAACAAGAATCATCAACGGGGCAGCGTCAGATGTTAGTGCTTTTTTGATCTGGGGGATTTCAAAGCGCAAAGAACACGGACGAAGAAGAGACACATCAAACACAAACCGGCGTTAACTTTCAACTGATCTGGGGAAACCACCGAGCACAAATGCGTGAATAGTCCCTCTTATCTTGCCAACCTCCTGTGATGAAAGTAGCTCATAAACACAAACAAAAGATGTCAATACTTTAAACATTCGCATCAGTTCGACGTCTCCACACAAAACCATTTAGAAAAGAAACTACATTGTCATTTAGTGAACTCGAAGGCAGTTGTCACCTGAGGACTTCGTAAAATACGCTTCAATTATTTCCTTTTAAGTTTTGTTGTTTTCTTTTTTAATAACCTTTGCTAATTCTAACAGTGGACCATACCAACACCACCTAGACAGAAGGTCTCCGCATGGTCTCCTCTCCCTCTATGAAGCGTCATCAGAGTCTAAAGGCGCTAACTCGGCTATTGCCCCCGAGCCCGTCCTTCGAGACGCTGATTGGAAACGAGCCCAGCCGAACACTGAGCAGGACTCGTGCCCAATCTCAGGCCTCGATCGATCTGACTGTGATGAAGCGTCAGGAGGCCTTCTGTCTAGGTGGTGTTGATCACACCCGCACCGCATGCCGTGTGCGGCAATGTGTCCCCCCGATTTGTTACGAACCGCTAAACGATGTTCACGAGCCCGTTCATTAAAACACCCTCCGGTCTGTTCAATATACAGGCGCCCGCACTTCAGTGGTATCTCGTAAACAACATTAGAGGCACAAGCTATGTATCGACTGACGAGCTTTTTCGAGCATTAAACATGTTTCTGTCTAGTCATTATAAGACAAACTTTCGCCAGCTTGAATGGAGCGGAGAAAGTGACATTGATAACGTACATAATTGCTATTTTATAAAGGTGGTGCGACACCTTGTGTAAGTCATTGTTTCTGAGTGTGGCACGTGGCAAGTGCGGGCTAACCGATTTTTACAGCAGCATCTGAGGGGGATAGCAAGCAATTATTCTTTTTGGCTCAGAGCTCAAGGGAAATAGTGAAAGTTCTACAGATGGGAATGCCGAACGCGCATTCGATATTTAGGATTGATGTAGAGGATCTGTTTTATTCGGTAACACACGGAGGACTCTTTAACGTTGTTCGGGACAATATCAATTAATCTGAAGAAATTGTGCTTCAAAATTCTACAGGCGTCAGCAGCGACAGCTTTTTAGCATTTTTGGAATTTTATCTCCGGTCGACGCTCATGAACATTAATAGTATGTTTTAAGTGCAAAAAGCGGATATTCCTATTGGTTCCTCAGCAGCCCCAGTATTGTGTGATATATTTTTCGTATCCATGGACAAGCGCACACTCGAAGTCCTTAATGACATGCATGTGCTTAGAATTTTTAGTCACGCAGATTTTATGGTTTTGTGGATGATTACGCGCAGATGTGTTAAATTGAAGTGGTCACAAAGGTCGTCAAATTGTTTCAGGCTATATCGGACGGATTGAAGATCACCTGGGAACTTCTCATAGACAAGTGTATTCAGTTTTTATACCCACAGCTTACTTTTACAGATAAACACGTGTACTGGTTGTACACATCGTGTTCAGAAAAGAGACCCCTGTGTTTTAATAGCGCTTATTCTAAGCTGATAAAGCAAGGGATTGCTCCCTTGTTTTCTTCAGGCTGCTTTGACGAAAAACTGCCATCACGTTTTAACGACTAGCTTTAAACTTCAGGTAGAACGCTTAGACAGGGCGGGCTGCCCCGCCTGCTTGATTACCAGCGTGTGCAAAGACCTCCTACAAAATATCAAAAGTAAAGGCAAGAGAGAGGACGGTCATTGAGAAAAAGTTTCAAAATCAAGACTTCAAGTGTCTTGATTTTGACTCAAGGTGTCTTACAACCTTAAGGAGATAGCAATTAATTACGATGTCAATGTTGTTTTCTCCGCTCCATGCAAGCTGGTAAAAGTTTGTCCTATGATGACTAGGTAGAGACGTGTTCATTGATTGAAAAAGTACGTCACTCAGTCCACAGCTTGCGACTCTACTCTTCGAGATCCCACTAACTTGCGGGGCGTGTGAATTGGACAGACTGGGCGGTGGTTTAATGAAAGGGCGCGTGAAAAATACCTAACTATTTGTAACAAATCGGAGGGCACCTTGCACCACACTGCATACGGTGCGGGTGTTGATCTCCTGTTAGAATTAACAAAATTTAATAAAAGAGCAAACAACAGGACTGAAAGGGAAATAGTTGAAGCGTATTTTATAAATGTCCTCAGTTGATAACTGCGTCAGCACGCCATTGATTTTACTAAATGACAATAAAGTGCCTTTTCCAGATGGTTTTGTGTAGACACGTTGAACTGAAACGATTGTTTAAATCAATATCATCTTTTGTTTGTGTTTACGAGTTGCTTTCATAACAGGTGGTTGGCCAGATAAAAAAATAGTGTTCAGGCATGCGTGCTGGGTAGTTTCCTTTGAATATATCTGTTGAAAGTTAGCGCCTGTCTGTGTTGAACGTGTCTCTTCTTCGTGCGTGTTTTTTTTGCGAATTTAAGTTCTCTAGATCACAATGAACCAATTCGCCCAATCCATAGTTCTAGCTTTTTTTTTAATTTGAACTAAAATGCTACGAATAAACTGCGGCGCGGCTATTTTATTCTTCCCGTGAATATGTGTGTCAATCTAAACTCAGGAGTGTGTAGAATCGGTCTACATTTTGTCTCCGTATATTCAGTTGCCACTTTTGTTCTGCAATATATATATAAGCATGGTTAGTTCATTGGCAATAGTATTGACAACCCTTTCTATCCCAGCTCGGAGAGGGGATGGCCACGAGTACGCGGAACCTTACTCTGCTCTACAAGTAAACCAGCAGAGGACTTTGGATGACCCTGAGTGTACAACAGCCATATCCTTAGCATACCGGGTAAGTCCATGCTTCGACGAATTCACATTGCTTCTCCAGAAAGTTTCAGAAAAATGTTAATCTGCACTGCACCATATTATGTCCTATTGGAAGTGAAGCACTAATAAAAATAACACATTACAAGCTTACCCTCTTGAAATCAGCGGTTGTTTGACGATATATAAAGTTATTAACCGATATGAATTAGTGATGCAATAACGCATTTAAACACAATCAATAGAAGTAATAAATATTAACCCAATGGAATTATTTCTGATATTGGTTTTTAATCAAACTTGGGAAATTGACTGGCCTCAAATATTGACCATCGTTGTTCAGATGTGTCTTCGTATCGCAATGACAGATAATCTGTGCAGTTCAGAGAAAACATTCTGAAATCACATGTCTATCGTATTAGGTTGAAAACTCGCTATAAGGTTATAAATGCTAAAAAATACTACGCTTAATTTAATCACGCACCAAGTAAGCGCTTGCACAAGTGCTCAGGCAAGATATCTTATAAGGTACACAATTTTACCAATGTCAAAAGTTAAGATGGCATAATGTTTAATCATGCTGGCAATTTCAATTTTACGTGCCTTTGAACAAATTTGAAGCGACGTCATACTAATACATTGCAAAACTCATTTAGAAGTAGAGGTCTGGTAATATAGCATAGGATTTGCATATTTTTGTTAAGTGTTTATTGTGAGGGAATCCTGTCAAGTTAGAGCTGAAGTTCTCTTCCAAATAACCGTGAGCTTATTATCGCCTATACCGGTTATTCGGAGGGAAACAACAACAAACATGGCCAGACTTCAGGGGGGAAATGTCCCTTCCGGTTCGCTATCGGTTTTATTTTTCTTGAGAGCCCGCAAAGAGTAGAGCGTACCTTAAAACTCTCAACCGGTGAAGGCCAACTGCGGTAACATCTAAAATTTACTTATACAGGATAGACATGCCTTGACGATCCCTTCGATGAAATGATGGAACAATTGTTCCTAAAAAAATTACAAATATGCCGAAGGTATCGCGTGCGCATCTTCACGACCTAAAACCCACAAGTCCCTAAGCTCGTTCCACTGCTTCGTGAACGGCTAGGCAGCGGCGATGGGCACCTACCTCCCCCAGGCACCGAGGATTTGTGCCGAGATTCCCCACAGGGGAAGCCGAGATTGGTCTTTATTTTAGCAGACAATCTTCCCAAAGTGTTTATTACACTTCCCTTAGAGCGACTCGTATCTCTACATTGCACAAGTTTCTAATGTTTTGACTTGCTTGCTTTGGAATTCTATGTTTCTTTCTGAGAGAACTGTGCCCCTTTTCAGGCCCGGTAGGCATCTATCGTTGTAGGGAGATGGTCAGTCGAGGCGCCGTCGGCGCGGCTGGCGCCGGACACTCGCGGTTGTCGCATTGCGTCATCTGTCGTCAGCACATCGAAGTAGGTTAGCACCGTCTGGTTATGCCGCCGCTGTGCAATCACCTAGGATCGGGAGCGTCGGTTTCGTCCCTAATCTAAAGATAATGAACAAACTTCAGACGTGATATTTGTGTTCCTGCAGGCGCTCTTCTGCCACTTAAATACACGACAGAGGGGGATTTCTAGACCCTAGCTCTCAAAAAAGTGCTCCGTAGAAAACCAAGTGTCGTCGCACACACACCCCAACACGCGTAGTAAACATAGCAGAACCAAAAGTATCTCCCTCCCCCCACCATGCGGCTGGAATTGGCGCTAACACCCCGTTTTGCATAGGCACAGTGTATGCTAATAATTTATACATCATACATACCAAATTTACCTTTATAAAACATTTTGTATTAAAATTATAAAAAAGCTAATATATGAGTTAAGATCCAAACATTGTCCTCATCAACGCAATCTAAAAATTCCGAAGAGGCTACAGCAGTCTAGCGTTGGGGGGAACCGATTGAACTCTTCTAAAATTTCATTTTTCAAGACAAAACTTTCTGCCAGATCATCTCTGTTTGATACTACTAATCTTTTTGTCTATTTATTATTGTCTGTTTTATATATCACAGGCAAGATGTGACGGAGCTCCGTACGCGACCATAAAGAGGAGTCCTCCAAGGCCACATACCGCGGCGTTTTGCCAAGGTAAGAAAAAAACCAACGTTTTCTTTTTAACTATATTATTCTTAACATTACATATATTATATTAGAAACTAATAAAAAGTAATTCTGTGAAACCTATTAGCTCTAGGCAAGTGAGAGATAGAGCCTGAAAATTTTAACCTTGCAAGTAGCCATAAATGTAAGTGATTATTTAATGAAAACTTTTGTTCCGGCAACCAAATCTTACAGAAGCAAATTTTAGTTCTAAGAAGACTAACGCCATCTGCTCTAGAAAAATATATTAAAATGTTGCTTTTACCACCAATATTGCATAATGGGTAATACTTTGTTTTCTGTTATAAAACTTCGTACGGTTTATTTTGTATTAGGACATGTACAGAACAGAAATGCCGCATATGGTCTTCGGTTTAGGAACGAAGTTTTAACTAGAACTTCACTTCCTTTGACTTCCTTGTTACGGAGTACTTGGGTAAAACCTATCAACGGCATAACCATTCACTTCTTGAAAATTCAGACAAGCACGGCGATGTTGTAAAGTAAGGGTAACACTCCCCATATCGTACATTTCTAAAAGTTCTCGTACGACTACTTTCCCGCGAACTCGTCAAGAAAAAACTATTTCCAAATGACGAGGCCATAATATAATAAATCAAAGGTTGGTATTTGTAATGTCCCATTAAAAACGACGAGGTATGAGAACTATAGAGCTCAGTTTCACATTGCAGTCATTATTTTATAACTAGACCTATTTCGACCATGTCACTCACTCAATTCACTCCACAGATTGCAGGATTGACTCTGGAGTAGATGCAAAAACAGACTTAATATTGCATAAATTGCAACCTTTGTCATCCCATTGCTGTTTGTTTCATTGTCATCCCTTTTTAGAATAAAAACGAAACACCTTTATGAAGTACGTTTTGGGAGATTTTATGTTGCGGCCAATTTTACATGAGAGTACTCAATGTTTTTATTCTTTTGTAGTAGTCAATATGGCTAAATTGTAGGGTAGGATCGGAGTTTTTCCAAATATGTAATTTGTACATTATGTACGCCGGAAGTACTGAAAGACGACATTTTATAAGGTACCTCATGTTTATATTTATCATGATATAATTTGCCACTGGGTGTTGAATGAAAATGGATATGCACTAGTAGGTAAAATATCAATTAGTATACAATTAGATGTGCTAGACTAGTGCGGGAAATAAAACGTTCCAAATATTCATATCGCAAGTATACTTTGTATTTCTAATTTAACATGCGAAACACATACGGCTATAGTTTGATATTGTGTACAATATTGTATAGTACCATTCAAATGTTACGTTTAAAAACGAGGTTTTTATCGCGTTTCCAACAATAAATCATTGTTCTGTTAGCAGTTGTAGTATTCATACTATGACAAAGTATAATTTTTATAACCTGCATAAACACAACATTCCAAATAGTGCTTTTATCAAAATATTACGAATTACCACACATTACTATACTTATTCTAGTTAAACAAATCACGCATTATACCACAATTATTCTTGCTAAATCAGTGGATCTCTTTGTAATCGTGTATTTCCCTTGACAGAAATCTCTTGACAGTGGGATGGCTGCAACGATGGATCCGTGCAATGTCTGGTATAGCAAACATGAAAACGTGAGAAACACTCTTCTTAATCTCATGATCTTCCGCTGTACATCAAATAGAGTTTTAATATAACTCACAAACTTTGTATTCTAGTTTTACTAGCTTTAAACGCCAAAACTAAATTTGAGCAAAAAGATATTTTAACTGAGAACAACAAGGCGGTAAGCTGGGCGAGTTGGGCGATCTTCAAACGTGAAAATAGCGCAAATATTTGACAGAGGATGAGTGAAAGAAGTGTACGGACAAATGCGAGTAAGAAAAGGGTCGTCCAACTTAAGCAGAGACACGTGTCGCTGAAGAAAAGACGATACCTGGAGCTGCCAAGAGTCTTTCTGGGTAACAATTGCCCTGAACGGTCTGAGCTTCTTATGGGTCTTTACTGAGAAGTAAAGGCCCATTTGTCCGTGACCTTCTTTCAGTCATCCTTTGTCAAATTTTTGCACTGTTTTCACGTTTGAAGATGTTCAACTGAGAAACGTAAACATTATTGTAACAGCAAGTAAATACTGTTTTACTAATATTCTGAGAGAAAGCATATGATACTGTCAGGCGCAAGCCCTAAGTAAATTTTTTTTCTTTATTTGCGTCCGAGTTATAGTTTTGCAGAGGGCCTAACGCAAAAAGGCGTGGTTGCCTGTCAAGGGCTTCTCACTCTTTTGTGGGCTCATGCCAAATATGAAATTATATTATACTTACGTGTTGACACTACTAAGTCCCCTGTTTGTTCATGCCTTTCAATTTTGTCACTTAGATTGGAGGCTGTTCTATTTTTTCTGTAAATTCAATCAGATCAGGCGCTAAATGTGTCTGACAATATTTGCGAAGTAGCAGTATTTTCAGTGTATTTGGCACGTTCTATATATTCTCACAGATATTTTAAACACACTGATTTTTACGGGTACTTGCGCACAATATACACTTATATATTGCAGTATTTCAATTCGGTTATCTAATAAAATATCGTTTGATGCCTTCCATAAAAGACGACACCCTTGAATATGCCGAACACACAACCATGTAAACCGTTAGATAACAAATGTGCAACGTGTTTGCTTTCATTCCGGACATATTGCTTTTAGAGGAAGCGAGAGTTAGAGGAGCGCCGTCTTCACTAAGGAAGTGTCAGACTTGGTGGACATTAGATGGAGAAATATTTGTCATGATAAGTTAGCTACTTAACTCAAATCTGCTAATTACCCTTTTAATTGTTGGGCTTACGACTCATATAGAAATTTCTGTATAGATGACAAATACTATCGAAGTTCCGAATAATTTAAAGAACTGGCACACAGATACATTTTTAAACATTCATCAGTATTTATTTTTCAGTTTTTTTTTCGGTGGATTTTAAAATATCGCTGAAAGAGTGTGCATGCAGAAAATGCTGCCCACACTGACATTCCGAATGGTGTAGTCGTTTCAATCATTTCGTTCATACATTGGAAGTAAACGTTATTAGATTGTCTCAGCTACAGAACTGCCCATAGACTCTTCTTGGACAAGCATTACACCCTCCCTCCCCCCTCTCCTCTTCCTCTCCCAAAACGGCTTGCGTTCTTGCGTTTGAAGCGCCACCGTTTTGGGGGAGGACGGCTGCTATGGTCGCTGCGGTGTGTTCTCTGGAATGCATCAGTTTTGAAGCTCTAGATGGTGTTTCACCGCACTCTGTTGAACACAGTTTTGAAAAGAAAATAGGTGGCGCTTCAAACGACAGGAAGAGGACTGAATGGAGTGAGGGGGTACCCCCCCTCCCCCCTTTGCGAGAGTTCAGGAACTGAGGTAATCTCGTAACGTTGTCGGCAGCGTGTCCTTGGAGAGTGAGCCGGCGACAGTGAGGAGGTAACTAAAGTGACTAAATCACTCTTCTAAGCGTTATTGTGGTCAGTGCTTGAGGCGCTCTTTTTGGGCACAATTCTATAATCGGGCAAAAGTAAAACGCGGATTGGAAGATTTTTATCTAAAGAAAAGTTACATGTTTGCCAGTGCTTAAAACTGCGATAATAACTGCCGGTAGTACCGCCATTGTCACGATCCCTACAACCAATAATTCAAAAGTTAATTGGCAAATATATTTTAATTAGTAAACTTACAATTAGCATTATATCCTCGTCTAACGGCCATCGAGTTTATGAACACATGGTGAATACGACACTCGTAAACGTGTCACCCCTTTTTTTGAAGAGCTGATTTAAAAACATACTGTATATGTTTATTGTGGGTTCTTTCGTGGTACATTAATTACAATAATAATTTTACTAAGTATAAATATCAACCGATTTATTGCTCTTCATATAACATATCTTCAATATCGCACTTTAAACGAACTTTGAAAAATTCCAGATATTTTACAAAATATTAACCCTTATTTTAGGAATGAATAAACATGCTCAATAAACTTACTTCTTTGCCTCCTAATAAATCTAAATTATTGTTATCAGGAATTTAGAACTCAATAGTTTCCTGTAAAGTTAGGAAATACTACAGTGAATTCATATGTGTAAGTTTAGTATTTTGTTTTGAATTGAGATATTATTTCGTAAGTTCTATTTCATGATGTGTAATTTACTCATTACTTGTAAAACAGGTATATACAAAGTAATCAGGAAAATTACTTTAGATATTTTAGCAATCTAATAGGGCCAGGCTAATCCTCACCCTTCCTGAATTATTCAAATGTGCTTTTATATATTTCTCTGACTAATATTAATTACAATATCCCTATAATAATTTATAAGTATCGCGTAGGGTGGCCAAATATTGACAATTTTAACCGGACGAGACCCCACCCTCTTATACAATCTTTATGATCATACATTTTTTTTCGTTTCAGGATATACCACTGGACTCCAAGAATGCATTCTCGCATCCACCGGAGAGCCTAATTTTTGCATAATTACTTTTACCTGCGATGACTTATATGTAATGTCATAAAACGAGCAAAAATGCAATCGATTCTCAATAGTAAACAGTACTTGAATAATCATTCAAGTATAGAAGAATGTCTGAAGAGTGCGTTAATTACGATGGAAAATGCTGCCAAATCTCTAGTGTAGCACATAAGGCCCGTGGATCGGTTTTCATTATTTCCCACTGATGTTACATGCAAAGCTAGTGATTATTTTAGCTCAAGCTATTGACTGCATTTTGTATAAAACGTGAAAATTGTATCGAGACTATCGTGTAGTACAACCGACTTAATATATACATATCAAGTGCCTGCTTCTATACATATATTGAGATACCTTCTTTAAGTCATACATGAAGGCATCGTTAACTAAAAATAACACCCAGTCTTAAAATAAAAGCTACGCCATTATAGTCGAAAAGAAACCGGTAACAAATGTATACTGTTTGAGATTTCTACTCTCAATTATTTGCACGTAAATAAAAAAAATCACTTAGGGTTATTATGACTCGAGTTTAATAATCATGAAGGAGTCTTGAAGTTTAGTACGCATAAAAATACAATACATATGTTTTATATTTATAGTGCATCTGCAGTAAACTGAGCTGTCTAGGAATTTAAGTGATCGCCGATTGAGAAATAGTCGCAAAAAGTATTTCGCAAAAAAAAATATTTGACGAATATTTAAAAAATTGTGCATAGAATTGTGCCGATCGGTATATTTGGCCATGTATATGGTTTAGGCAAAATTATAGTACGCCAAAAACATGCGTTTTATAAAAGCTACACAATATCCGATACACGCATTGCAAGGGGTCTCTGAATAAACAAAATACTAGAAAGAAGCTCTGTCAAAAAAACTGGAGTAGGCCATTTACAATCAAAGGGGTCAGAAATGGCAATGTCTGTATCCATTATACCATTTTCAATAGAACGTTAATCGTATTACAATCTTTCTCGTTGTAGGTTCCTAAAAAAACAATGCGTTATAAATGGGATCTAAGGAAAGGAGATTAAGACGAGCGAATTTTAGTTATTCTTAATATAAAGTATTCGGTTGAAATAGCGTAAGATACAATCAACTTCCTTAACTCTGGCTCGAGTAGTGTTGATCAAGAAATACAAATATTTAAGTGCCCACTTATTTCTTCTTTTTTTACGATGTGTGTTCCTACATATTCCCTAAAATATTTTCCCAAACTTTTTTTTTTAATTTAACTATCATCCTGTACTGAATCTTTTACATTATATTTACCTTACACTTGCTTGACGACAACGATTGATTACAAATAGGTGCATCCCTCGTATATTCCTCGTGAAATACGCACTCTATCTCTACTCTTGTTCATAACTCTACAACGTTCTGGATAACAAATTAGAGCATGCACCACCTCTGGATTTTAATAAATATGTGTTTATGTCACTGATGTCTTTCCTTTTGGTCGACATTATGATGCTTTGACTCAAGGATATGTTATAGTAACACCTGCATGTTAACAAGCGCGTAGTGCTGGATTTTCTATGTCAGCTACCAAAAGCTAAAAATGGGCACATATGGGACGCGTGCTGCATCAGCATTTGACGTTGGACGTTCTCACTGATTGAACACAAGTTCCTGTCGTGCACTGACGCGGCACTTGTGTCAGACCTGTGCCCCCTGCTGGCGGTCGGATGTTGGTGTATAAACCCAAGCATTACAGAATATTTATCTCCAAGTTAATGGTTGTATCCGTCTTGCTTGGATAATAGGCTCAAAACTGATAATCACAAATCCTATGCAGGATTTATGGCGCAATGACATTGATATTTAGCATTGATTTGCGTGCTCTAACAAGGTGACCACTCCCTAGTTTGTCAAATTTCAAAAGCACATGTGCAATGCTGGATACTTTTGTCATTCAGGTGATGGACCTCAAAGCATTCATTCATCTATTCATTTATTCATTCATTCATTTGTTCATTTTCTGCGCTCATGAACAGCTTGACGCCTTGGTAATGATGCACAACAAAATATTCAGAGGTGAGTTACAAAAGCTACGAAATTTG